CATTTCTTGATATTCCGAGTCACTTAGTGGGTCAAGAGGGGCATCCAAGTTGGCATTGATGCCTTCCTCGATATTGGGACCAACGCGGCCGTTGACATGCACCGTAGCGGGCACGTCACCAGTAATGGATCGGGCAGCTGCTCCCCCACCCTCGGTGTGCTTGACCGCTGTCACACAGAGGTCAAAGTGGCGGACTAACGACTCAAGAAGGTTAGCCATTTCTTGGGCATGCATCTCAAGAGAATGCAGCATGGATGGAATTGACGAGAGAGACGGCAAGCTAGCGTTGGACGTCGATTGCGATGACGAAGAGGCGGACATTCGGGACGACGCGAGCTGAGTTGCTGCCCGGTAATTGCCGAGTGCTTCTTTGATAGATTGCAACTCATCGTCAAAAGCGCGATTAGACGATTCTAGGTCCGCCTGAGCGGCATTGGTCCGATCAATAGAGCCTTTGAGGGTAGTATGTAGCTCTTCTACCCCACGCTCGTCCACAAAGTCATGTAAGCTTTTGGATTCTTCACCTTCTGGGCGGAATGACGCGTGGACAATAGTTTCTCGCAACAAATCCAACGTCTTTCTCAGTCTCGCGTCCGCAACATCAAGGCTCTTTAGCACGGCAGCGAACTCTGACCGGCCGCGCAGGGAGACCTCCTGAACCTCGGTACGGACATTATACAGAAGGCGTAGCTGATTATTCAGCCCCCGGCGAAGGAAGCCCGTTCGCGCCGAGACTACAACACTCTCTTCCAATGCGGAGCGAGCGGCCGTGACGATCTCATTAGCACGCCAGACATGATTGATAGATGACAAGGAGCGTTTGGCCGCAACCAAATGCGAGATGAGTGTCTCTAGTTGAGGCATTGAGTTCTGCTGTCCCGGGGAGGGATTCGGATCAGGAGAAGCATTATTGGATATCGCGGATGACTCCGAGTCTGACATGGTCGAGGACGTTCCAGATCAATCCGTTAAGCAAACAAAAAGCAGGCCAACAATTGGAAAATGCCGCAAGTGATTTGCATGAGATAATTCACCGATGAGCTTGAGCGTCCAATGAATGGTTTGCACAACACTGCGAGCGGCCGAGCGACCGATCCGGAGTAGACGAATACAGAGGAACAGGGAATCTGGCGTGAGAAGTGCGTAGATTTAGGCCATCATCACTCCATTGGAGAGGCCAAGCAACGTTTATCCCTTCCTAAAGAACCAGTGGTTTCGACTATCAATTTCACGACTAACAGGGACTAGTGTAGTTTGAATTCTAGCGGTCAGACGTCCAACTCGAAATTGAGTCTCAGAAAGCCTTCGTTATGGGAGGACTCTCTAATCTTGCCGCGTTCTGAAGCCGAGAGATGATGTGATGTTTCAAGGACACCACGTTTGTAGTAATCTCGCCACGAAACGAGGGGAGTAAAAATGAGGTGATGAGGCTGTTTCCGGTACGAACTTAAACGATCATCACAAGAGGCAAAACATTGATCATTAAAAAAAAAAAATTAGCAAATAGGCAGATCTGGGTGAGCAACGGTTGGTCAGAAGCACGACGGCCCAATGGTGGAACTGAGTGTCCTCAGTAGTATGAGTCGGAGTACGTCGTTGCTGGCACCCAACCCACTGGGGAATTTAGCGCCAAGCAATGGATCCAAGAATAGCGCAATACAGAGTCAGAGTACTAGCTTCTGAAAATTCTGGGGGATCCGCAATAAGGGCCGACAATGGCGACGAATTGTGCAACACAGAAGCAGTTCGTCGTCTCCTTTGGCGGGTCGAGATGTTGTGCTGATGCGACTAAGACTGTCTATGGCGCAATCGACATCACGTGAGGACTACCGCAAGGGGACTAGCGCAGCACGATACGCTGGTTTGCGCTTGCGTGATCGAAGCAGGGCCAACAAGGTAGTTGATGTACAAGTACAATGCATCGTCTTCTTTCTCCCCCCTGGTATCTTTTCTCTCGGGCGCATCCTTCTGCACGTGTTTCAAATTTGGCTGGACCATTGGATACAGGAAGAAGACGACCCGACTCCTCTCTTCCATCCTCTCTCTCTCTCTCTCTGTGTGTGTGTGTGTGTCGCTTTCGCTTTCTCGATCCCTCTCCCCGCCTATCAACGACTAAATCTCCTTATCTTGCGACCCATCAAACTCCCGACGGTCGCCACTGTCACTCCCCTATCCGCGCACGACCAGGTACCACAGTATTGACTTTAAACTTCAACAAACCTTGACGAAGGTGGTCGCTGGCGTCGTAATATTCGGCGTCTTGTCGATTTTTCTCAAGGATCCGTTCTGCTGTTCATTACCTTCTCGGGACGACTACTACCACGGTAGCGCGCGGGCGGTAGGAACCTCGTTCCAGTCACACGATGCAGTCCGACGACCGATCAGTGCGTGAAGGTAGCGACTCTTCGCAGACTTTCTTGATGAAAATGGCCCAGCCGACGCGAGAACTTACGCATCCCTCGCACGAACAACTACAACTACAGCAACAACAACATTCTTTCCAGTCCATCTTTGGCGGCGCATCGGACACCGCTGAGGAGATTGAAACCGAGACCGATTCTAACCATCGAAAGCCCCACAGTTTCGGTGCCGCTGCGACGACTACCGCCAAGCTTGCAAACGAGAATGTTGCACCATTTCTCGTCAAACACATCCCCGAACAATACGGTCCCTTGGGGTCACGAAGAACCGACAAGCTGGAGGATTTGAGCAGCCCGAATTCGAAATTTTGCTATCGCCACCGGCCAGACCTTAAATGCAGACGACAGGCAGACGAGCCGTCCATGGATAAACTACAGAGGGTAGGGCTTCCTAGGGCTTTGTCATGTTTCTCTTAGCTAATGGGTTATAGGAATTGGAAACCCTGCCTCCCAGCGACCAACAGGGCATTGCCCATGTATGGTCTCTGTTTTCGGCCGCTCCGGCCAAGCACCGCAAATTGATTCTCCAGGGGATCATGTCTCAGTGTTGTTTCCCGCAACTTTCGTTCGTGTCCGCTACCGTTCGAGACCTCATCCGAATCGACTTCCTGACCGCTCTCCCACCGGAGATCTCGTTCAAAATTCTGTGCTACCTTGACACCACCTCGTTGTGCAAAGCCGCCCAGGTGTCCAGCCGCTGGCGGGCACTGGCTGATGATGATGTGGTTTGGCATCGGATGTGTGAACAGCACATCCACCGCAAATGCAAGAAATGTGGCTGGGGACTTCCTCTTCTGGAACGGAAACGTCTGCGAGAGTCCAAGCGCGAAATCGAATTGCGCGCTACGAACTGGGACGTCAGCGGACCCGCGCAGAACGCAGGAGGTGCCGAATGCAGTGCATCACATGCGGAGGATGTGAATACGCAGAAACGGAAGGCGGATTTGAGCGATGAGGAGACGGCAATCGTGAAGCGGCAATGTTCCTCGCTGGATGCTCGATCGGAGTCAGATGATGACTACTATACGACTCGGTATCGGCCGTGGAAGGAGGTCTACAAGGACCGGTTCAAAGTTGGCACCAATTGGAAATACGGACGATGCTCCACCAAGGTGTTTAAAGGCCACACCAACGGAGTGATGTGCTTGCAATTCGAGGACAACATTCTGGCGACCGGTTCATACGATGCGACCATTAAGATTTGGGATACCGAAACCGGGGAAGAGCTGCGTACCCTACGCGGACACCAATCCGGCATTCGCTGTCTCCAATTTGACGACACCAAATTGATCAGTGGCAGTATGGACCGCAGTCTGAAGGTGTGGAATTGGCGTACAGGCGAGTGCATTTCCACCTACACGGGTCACCGTGGTGGGGTGATCGGACTGCACTTTGACGCAACGATTCTTGCATCAGCCTCCGTTGATAAGACGGTCAAGATCTGGAATTTCGAGGACAAGTCAACATTTCTCCTCCGCGGACACACCGATTGGGTCAACGCTGTCCGAGTGGACACGACTTCTCGGACGGTGTTCTCGGCGTCGGATGATTGCACTGTTCGCCTTTGGGACTTGGATACAAAGGCCTGTCTCCGGACCTTCCATGGCCATGTCGGCCAAGTCCAGCAGGTGGTTCCTTTGCCCCGGGAGTTCGAGTTTGAAGAACACGACGCCGAATGTGATAACGATAACATGAGTACCGCCTCTGGCGATACGGAATCAACCTCCCTTCAGGCAACGCTCGGACTAGAGTCAAACGCCACTGAGACGTCTGTCTTTGGTCCATCCTTCGACAATGGCCGTCCAGCCCCACCGCGCTACATCGTGACGAGCGCCTTAGATTCCACCATCCGACTCTGGGAGACCACGACCGGTCGCTGCTTGCGTACCTTCTTCGGTCACCTCGAGGGCGTTTGGGCACTCGGTGCCGATACTCTCCGGATCGTGTCCGGTGCGGAAGACCGGATGGTCAAGATCTGGGATCCCAGAACCGGCAAATGCGAGCGCACCTTCACCGGTCATTCTGGTCCCGTGACCTGCATCGGTCTCGGCGACAGTCGGTTTGCGACCGGCAGTGAGGATTGCGAAGTGCGCATGTACAGTTTCCGCAGTTAAATCCTCTTCTTTTCTTTTTCTTCTTCTCGTGGCCCGTCTCCTGTGGAGACATGACGCGCCTATGTTTTAATGTTGTGCTTTGGATACAAATACCCTTCAAGTTGGCGCTAGGGTCAGGGATCATTTCGTGATATCATTACATCGGGCTCTGTTTAGCATTGGATGGTGTCTGGCGTTGTTTGCCTGGGTGACAGGTTGTTCAGAAAATGGTTACAAAAAGCTATGGCCATCAAGATAGCAATAATCTTACATGGATTCATTCTGTTACATTTACACTCCTCCGTACTCGATGCTTCTATTTTCAAGAGCCACACTGGCCTGTGTTTGGCAATCAGTGGCAGCTTCAAGGGACCAGTATTATTCTGCTATTGCTCGGAAGATAAACCACTTGAAGCTCTTTCCTTGACCCATCCTCCTCTCCCCATTGTCAAGTTGTCCATTTTCTGTTCCAAATCCGGGGCACAGGCTATGCAGCGAGGTTCATGACCTGCATAATATTAGCAACCACCGTGGTGTTTTCGTATTATTAAACGGGTACTCACTAAACTGGTGCATTTGCTCTCGATGGGCTGAAAGTCACCACATTGACACATGCCCTCATGTAACAGGGGTTGCACACAATCTACCACTGCTTTGTATTTGTCTTCCATGCACTGATCCTTCAATGCCTTTGCTTTTCCCAGGTCCAGACACCCTTTACTATCCGTGACCTGGGCTTTCTCCATCAAGCACTTTGGCGGACATGGAGCGCTCAAGCAAGACATTGCGGTTTGCACGTTGAAAGGACATCCGCCATTCTGAGACTCTGCCACGGCCACGGCCACCAATCCGGCGAGAATAGACACGTCTCCGAATCTCATTGTGGTCTTGATTGATTTCTAGGGGGGCGGGAAATGGACGAGGCTTTGAGGTGAAATTCAAAATCAGTTTTCTGGGGTGAATGTAATATAGATAGTAGGGATGAGTATGCGTAGATAAGGACAAGAGAAGAGGATGCTCAAGCTTTCTCCTTTTATATTACTTTCCCCCTGGGTGGATCAAATTATTGAGCTTGATTGGGTATGTTATCCGAATGGAAGAAAGACTGGTCATCTGGGTATGTGATATATCTTGTGAGGTATTCCTACCTGCATGGGTTTATTGGGTGTTTTAGTTTCAATACGAGTTTTCGTCCAACTCTGTTGATTTGATCCTCGTTGGCATTTCTTAAGGATAGAATGCCTGTCTACCCTGTCTTCCAGCTACGATTCGGCCTCACCGCACTTCAATATCCGAAATCAAGACAAGTCATCCCTTGCATTTAGGGGACACATACTAATCTATACTCTAATAGTGCATGATCTGCCCCCTTGGCCTGTCAATCATGTACCCGTTTTTGATCGGTGACGTTTTAGGAGGAGTTATAAGAAGAATATGTGCTGAAGAAGTAGTGGAGTATACTTCTGGGGAGTCAACAGAGACACATTATTTCTTTCTCTTGTTCTTCTTCTGGCTGGTCTTTCTTCTTTCTTTCTTTCCCCCCCCTTTTTTTTTTTTTTTTTTTTTTTTTTTTTTTTTTTTTTTCTTTTTTTTTTTTTTTTTTTTTTTTTTTTTTTTTATTTTTTTTTTTTTTTTTTTTTTTTTTTTTTTTTTTTTTTTGCATCATAGACCCCTGATAATAGTTGATAATAGTCTAAAACTAGTGAAGTAAGTTAGTTATCTCTTATAACTATCCGGAATATCATCTCTGTTTATGGTCCCTCTACATATTACTACTACTTCCCCCAACCCTAACAGGCAAGACTATGCATAATAAGGAATAATAATGCAGAACTCCCAACCCAAGAAACACACCCTTTAAACTCACCCCAAGAAAGCCAGCCATCATGAAACACCGGAAAATGAATACAACGACCACGCCAACAACGACGAAGAATAGCCAATTCCCGACTCCTACCCCAAAAGAAAACCCCAATGTTCCCGAAACTGGAAGTGGACGACATACGCACTATCAATGGTAGTATTTTGGATCCCTTGTGTCAGGCATGCTGGGGACTTGGTTAAAGAGAGAGGTGCCTGTCTTCGTCTCTCATAACACACGAAAGCTTTTCGACTACGACCAAATGTTCTCTGGACGCGTAATTCCTCTTAAGCACTAATCAATGTAGATCTAGAGTCTATCTAATACACGATTACGAATGAATACCTTGGAAACCTCGCTATTTATATTGCCCGAGCGGAACTCCTGAACAACGCCAACGCCTTAGAAATATTAATCATAGCTCCCTTTCTACTCTGGGCCCCGTATTTATTATTAATGGCTCTCTTTTAAAAGTATTGTCGATATAACAAGAGATCAATTCTTTAAACCATTTGGCACCGTCGTCGGTTTTTGCCTTAGTAGAGCGTTGTCGACAATCTCCGCGATGATGTCCTGGTATTCCATTCCGTTGTTTTTCGCGATCCAAGTGAACAAAGAGTGATCAGGCCGCAGTCCAAAAATTGGATTCACCTATCGCGGGTTAGGGAGTATTCTTTTGTATCTCCAAAGAAGAGACATACCTCGATGACATATGGCACGGCGCCATCTAGGCGGATATCGACCCGGCCTCCATCTCTACAACCTAGTGCTTGGTATGTAGAGAATCCGATCTCAGCCACCACCTTGACCAGTGGATCGGCCAGGTCCGCATGGACATGACCCATGTCATGCCCAACACCCCTGCCCTCCTTGGAGAAGCTGGTGGCGAAGTCAACGGAGAGGTCATCACTCTTTCGTCCCTCCGGATTGTACCATGTCACCTCGGAGACACCCAGCACTCGGGCTCGACCACCGGTCCCAAGGATGGCTACTGTGAATTCGCGGCCGTCTAAGAATTTCTCGAGGAGGATTTCCTGATCTTTGAATTCGGCGCGGAGGTCCTCCACAACATCTTGGAGATCTTCCTTTCGGAGGATCTTGTTCGATGGTGAGATGCCGTTCGAGGTGGATGCGGCGATTGGCTTTGCAAAGAGAGGATACGGTATCTGGTCTGCCAGGGCGGCGTAGTCGACGAGTTCGCCGGACCTGGGGACGATGGCAAACGGACTAGTTGGGATCCGATAGTGTTCTAACACCATCTATATAATAGAAATAAACCAATCAGTATCGGATACTCTAAGGGTTGGTATCTCATGAAGAATACATCCGAGTACAACTCACCTTGGTTTTTCCCTTATCGATCCCCGTTGCGAGCGTCGCCGCATCGGAAAAGGTAAAAGGGATCTGATAGGCTTCTAATAGGGCGGGAACCTGCGACTCACGAGCGGAGCCGAATACCCCTTCGCTGTAGTTGAACACAAGATCCCATTGCTTATGATGCTCTGCTGCGAGATGTTTGACGAGAGTCTTGATCCCGGGAACATGGACCACACGGTGGCCGAGACTTTCGAGGGCTGATGCTACGCCGTTGATGGTCACATCGTCCGCTAGATCGGCGCATTCACTCTTGGAAAATCCTATGGATTCATAGTAGTCCTTTGGATCGTAGACAAAGGCGATTTTGAGGCCGGTGCGTCTAGTGTCTCGCATGATATACTTTTGTGTGTGATGGTGATGGTAGAGGGAGGTCGAAATGTAGAGAGAATAGTACGGGGAGTCAATGGATTAAGATGAACTAGATATTACGGTAGGAACCAGAGGGATGCGTATTCACTTCACGGCGAATGATATGGGACCAGGTCTGGACGGGAGACTGGAGCGGTAGGTATGTATATAGGATATCTTGTGAATGAGAGGTCTCATCCACTCTGGATACCCTTGACTGATACTGATAGTCTCCTCGCGAGGGATTATTCGGGTATTTTCCACATTCCCAACAAGGAAGGAAGCCATCGACGTCATGTTCCATTCATTCATCTTCAAATTGACCCTGTTGCGTCATGATCGACCGATCGGCCAGTGAAACGAGCAACTGAGACCGTATTTAGATATCAAGATTGCATCAGAATGTTAATTGTCGTGCAAGGCAAATGGAGAGGCCCCCCTAGACGCTGTCTCGCCGTCGTTTGCCCCCTGTGGACACGGTCCTACCATGGATGCGAATGCGTAACGTGCGAATAGATTCGGAGGATCCAAGAACGTCGCCTCAGGGAGGGAGCTTATCTTAAAACTTTGTCATTGCCGATCGTAGAAGCCACACTGTGTAGAGCAATATTGATTCCTCAGCTTGCGAGGTAAATCGTTCACCAGTCGAGATGGACCCAGAACTATGCAAGCTGATACTATCAATAGGTGATAAGGGAGATGATGTTTTCTAGCCTATTCTGGGGTTAGCGTGTCACTAACCCCGAAGTGGTATGGCTTCCTCGTTTAGCACGAGATACGACATACCGACATCATCCAACATGGACAGAGGTCAAATCATTGCCTGTGCTTCACTGGGAGTCAACAACATACATGTTGCACTCACGACATGGCTAAAAGATATATAATTAAAGTGAAAACTACCTAAGTGATTATCGCCTGCAATACATTCCGCAACGACCTCCTCTAGAAATACCAGACAGCCTGGAAGACTACATTGAAAGCAGGTATATAGTCTATACTCTGACTGATTCAAGTACTGCCGAGTCACCTCGTGAAATAGAATCTTCAACCTCAATGGAACGGATGAGGGCTTCGTGTTCCGTGCTTCGCGACTGGATGCTAACCTCGAAGGGCGATAGGTGACCGACGATTCCCTCCTGATAATCTATAATGGGGTCGATCTCCCTGCCGTCTTTCATGGCCTTTCGGATCTGAAAGACTGCGAGTGATCGTGCGATCGTGAGAAAGCTATTGAAGTCCACCAGCGGACGACCGGGGCAAATCCGGCGACCAAACCCGAAGACCAACGTGTGCGGATCCCGTTCTGGTGTGTGTCCGTCTGATGCCAAGAAGCGCTCGGGCCTGAATGACATGGGATCAGAATATACGTCGGGATCGTGCGCAAATGCCCTGTCACGAAGCATGTGATTAGAATCGGCGGCATCGTAGCTAAGGGAAGGCAAGCCCACCAAATGTTGGGGACTATCGAGGCCCCTTTGGGGATCAGGTAGCCCTCGTAGATGTCATCTTCTGTGGTTGCGTGCATAATGCCGATTTGAACCACCGGGTTCCAGCGTAGAACCTCGTTGATAAGCGCATTCACGTAGGGTAATTTCCCTCGATCGTCAGGCGTAGGTAGCCTTGCTCCTACAACTCGGTCGATTTCCTCCTGGGCCCTGTGCTGTGCGGCAGGGAAGAGCGCCATTGCCAGAAAGAAGGAGGTGATGGTAGATGCTGTCTAGAGCTTCAATCAATACGACACCGTGGTGGCGCTTGCTAGCTGCACTCACCGTATCATAACCGGCTTGGTAGACTGAAGCTGCCGAGCATTTGATCTTCAACTCCTCCTCGGGGCTAAGTAGCGAGCCTTTCTGCTCAATCAGCCTTGAAACGAATGAAGGTTCATGGGTGCCCTCCTTTATCTGATGTCGAGCAAAGGCGAACGGCCAATTGGCCAATGCGTCAAATCCCCGTCGATACTCCTGGGCTTCTTTTTTGAACCTAGCCCCCGGAAACCAACTCGGCAGGTATTTCACTGACAAGGCTTGTGAGCCGCCACCAAGCATACGCCGAGGAAGGTTGACTTACGGGCGGGAATACTGTCCACCAGATAACCGGTTGGCTGATTTATCCTGCCAAATGCAAATGCTGTCTTGCTCACGAGATCAACAAGCGGATCGTGATCATGAAACTCGACGGTATAACCGTACGCGACCTTCAGTATGACTCCCCCGATTCCTCTGCGGATCGTATTAGCTGGTACTTAGTAGACGCCGTGCAACAGGACTGCGTTGCCCTCACGTTTTAACATGATCGATCAGCTTATCCGGTTCCTGCAGTACCCGTAGCAGAAAGCGTCGGATCACCATATCAACCTGCGGGTAAAACGATGATAACGCGTTTTCCGAGCGCAGCTGTGAAAGTATACATTTTCGTTGTGCACGAACAGTAGCGTGATCATTTTGCACGGTGACAAAGATGTCCGATCCAGAACTAGGGAAACAGGTCAAAAAGCATTAGCAAGACAATTAAATGCCCCCTGGGTAGTTGGTATACAGTTTAAGGAATAAAGAAAGAGGCAGCTACAGCTCATGCGCCATCACCATTCTTGGTCGAGATGAGTATCGCGCCGATCGTTTTTCCAGCAGTTCCGTTGCTACATTGGCGTCGTTTAAAATAATATGAGTATGCCCTGCCGTCGTAACCGAACTAATGGGACCTATTGGCGATTCACGATGAGGATCCCAACGCAGAACAAGAGATGGCCGGGAGTACTGTCCATACCATACAAATCCTTATGCTTCAGCCAATGTTCCCAATCTTTCCCCCCGCGTGGAAGATCACTACCAACGTTGCCGATAATGGGCAGACCTTTGGGGCCCGGAGGGAGAGGGGCTCGTGGTGCCTTTGACTTCCACAGGACATACAGCCCCAGGAGACCCCCGAGAACAATCAACATGCTTAAACTGTACATCGTGATGACGGAAATTTGAGCTTATAGTACTGAGGGTGACGTTGCCATTGGGGAACTCGCCCTGGTGATTTCCAGAGAAGATGAGTCCAACACCATGGAGAGAAGTGCAGTAAGCGCCAATATCTTGGATGCATGAATAGCAAGCTTTCGGGCAATGTGACCCGATGACGAGTCTCATACCTTGCGTCGGCTAACATCATAGTAATATATATTGATAGGAGATTGCGTTACACTGCAGAGTTGACTGCATTAGCCCGCGTGTCAGCGGTAGATTGACTTGTATTCATTGGTTGTCCACTGACTCACTGAGGCTAGAACGTGCCCATCCAACCAGCTTTTCATTAATAGGTTTTGCTCTATAGGCATGACCGAGTCTGGCTAGCCCAGTTGGTTATAGAACTAGAATAACCTTGATCTGACAGAATTCTGTTCTAAGGTGGGGTAGTCGGCCATCCTGCCATGTGGTTTGTTTATATCAAAAGACTACTAGTTAATCGTACGCTGGCATATGAAGGTGATAAGGTGTTTCAAAGGATACGTTTGTAAAATATTGTCTAGGTAATAATATTAGGTGAAATATGGTCTGTCCGATATATCGCGTTTCTGAACGAGGAGATCTTAATTTTAACGTTAAAAGTACACGGTGCTGTGGATCAATACCCTTTCACTAGTTAATTCAGTGTCCACGTTTTAATCTGAGCTACTCGGGACAGCGTTGTAAATTCGGTAATGTCCTCATATCGGGTTGCGGTACAACAATGCTTATGGCATACCCTTCCTAATCCGTAGGGTTTCCCTTTTTTTTTTTTTTTTTTTTTTGGATGCAGAGAGACAATATACTAGGACAATTTCCAAGTGGGCAAACAACTACGGGTGGGGCCCGAGGCCGCCGCGGAGACCGCGGAGAGCACGGAAACCGAATAACACACGTTTTTCGCTGGGTGGCAATAGTAAAGAAAGGGGTTCCAGGGCTCATTTAAATAGTGAAGGCAGGAATAATGAATCTATATTGTGAGGGTTAATCCAAAGCGTCGCTTTGTGTCTGATAGCTTTGCGTGCGAAAGTAAGGAAGATGTCGGTGTCTAGTTCGGCCAGTAAGAAGTGAGTGCCCGGCAAGTTATATATATTTTGTTTCAGAGATGAACTGAACATCGCACAATGAATGTTCAAGAGGACTCAATGCACTAACTGATTTGTATAGCCACCCAGCAGATATGCCCCGAAACCGTCGTGTAAATGGGTCAGCCAATGGCTCCGACAAACCAGTATCGAAGCCTGCGTCTCTGCCAGAAACCCATATGGAGTTCGGTGGTCCTGCTGGAGTGACGGCGTTGGTGTTGGGATTTCCACTACTGATGTACTACATGTACCTTGGTGCGACGCTCTACGATGGCCATCCTCCAACACCACAGAATGGCGAGACCATCAGTGAGTTCCTGTACCATCTTTTCGACCTTGCGTACACCCACGCGTTCCCTCATCGGCGAGCATGGGCCATCTACTGGACCTTCCTGATCCTACAAGGAATCGGGTACATTTATCTGCCAGGAGTATACGGCAAAGGAAAGTGTTTGCCTCATCTGAACGGGAAGCAGCTCGACTACTATTGTTCGGCGGTATCATCCTGGTATATAACCATTGCTGGCTCGTTGGCTCTGCACTTTACCGGGGTCTTTCGTCTTGATACGTTGATCAACGAATTCGGCCCGATTATGTCGGTGGCTATCTGTTCAGGGTTCCTGGTCTCCATAATCGCCTATGTGTCGGCATTGGCCAGAGGAGCGCAACATCGCATGACTGGCTCACACATGTATGACTTCTTCATGGGTGCCGAACTGAACCCTCGGCTGTTCAAATGGCTCGACATGAAGATGTTTTTCGAAGTTCGAATCCCCTGGTATATCCTGTTCCTCCTGTCACTGGCCACAGCACTGAAGCAGTGGGAAGAATTGGGTTATGTTTCGGGCGAAGTGTGTTTCGTGCTGATGGCACACTTCCTGTACGCCAACGCGTGCGCCAAGGGCGAGGAATTGATTATCACCAGTTGGTAAGTCCGGCGTCCATCATCTCGCTGAAAGCAGTTGCAACTAACCGCTTATAGGGATATGTATTACGAGAAATGGGGATTTATGCTCATTTTCTGGAACCTCGCGGGTGTGCCAATGAGCTACTGCCACTGCACCCTGTACCTCGCGTCTCACGACCCATCAACCTATCGTTGGAATCGAGTTGCGCTGGCTGCACTGTTCGCGATGTATCTCTTTGCTTACTGGGTTTGGGACACATGCAATAGCCAGAAGAATATGTTCAGAGCCCAGGAACGCGGGTTCTGGGTTGACCGGAAGACATTCCCTCAACTTCCCTGGAAATACATCGAAAACCCGGACAAGATTCCTACTGTAACGGGTGACTCCATTCTGTGCAGTGGATGGTGTAAGTTCCCACTCGATACGAATGGCCTCTGCTCATGCTGACGGAACAAATAGATGGTATGGCACGCAAAGTGCACTATACTTGCGATTGGTTTTTCGCCTTTTCTTGGGGGTTGATTACAGGATTCAACTCCCCATTTCCATGGTTCTACTCGGTGTTTTTCACGACGATGATTATTCACCGCGTCATTCGGGACATCCAGCGATGCCGGGAGAGATACGGCGAGGCGTGGGCGGAATACGAACGCCGGGTTCCATACCTGTTCATTCCGGTAAGTCATCACGCATTGCGCTGAACCTCACTGAAACTAATCGAATGTTATAGTATGTAATCTAAGATTCAATTCCAGTCCGTGATGGAGTGGGGGCATCTGTTTTGGTGTGTAAGATAGCGATGGATATTGGACCTTAAGTGCAACGTTGTTAGCCTAAAGTGTCGCTCATGTAATTAGAATTCAATATATCCATCACCGATCGGTTCGCCCCGATGAAGTCGTTCAGAAACATGGAGATATCTTCCTGACTCATTGTAGAGTCGAATGTGTCTTCCGGCCACGGCACGTTTGGTAGAGAAATGTTGGCCGGGCCATCTATCGTAGTGGGAATGACAAGTGAGCCATCCTGGTGTTGTTCCAGACCCATCAGAGTCTGCTGAGATTCCACAAGAACTTGCGCCGCTCTGGCAAACGCCTCACAGATTGTATAAAGATGTCTCGATCCGCGAGACAGCCCCTTGATGAGGTCTAGAGACTTGACCGTCTCCTGGAGAAGAGTGAGGTCGGCGTTGCTGGCAGTGGTAATCGCATGTGTGAAGACAATCACAAATGGCGCAAATGATGGGTAGAGTAGGATCCTGTATGCGTGTCAGCGGCTTTCGGACCTACAAAGTCCAACGTGCTAACCAATGAACGTATTCAATTTGCTTATGGGTTTGGCGACCGCGGAAATAGGTGAAGCATTTAAGGTGGCTATGCAAAGCTAGTGTGGCGGCTTCATAGCATCGGGATGAGATCGCCATGGCATTGCGTGGACGTGTTTCGGCTCGATAGATAACCGTCAGCACCGAGTAGGTGATGAAGTCAGCACATGCAGCCATACCATGGAGTGAGTCCGCATAGAGGCCTGCACTAACATCAATCTGGGAAGGAGTCAGCTTCTGGTTCATTGGGTTTTACTAAAAGGCCTACCGCGAGCAATTTGTCTCGAACCGCAATCAGGTCCAGAGAAAGCTTCTCAATGGCGCTTAACCTCTTCTCGTCGCTGGCCCTGGAAGCGGAAATGGAGTAAAGTTCATCATAGACCCTTCCTTGGATTGTCGCGAACTCGGCTGTGACGAGGGTCATTAGGTCCCATGAGCGATATTGGTTATGATCTGAAGGGGCAAAGAGGTCTGCGTCTATATCATGATCTTGGAAGTGGGAGGTAAACCCCAAATTCAGGGATATGTTCTTATCAATAGTGTAAAGCAACCAAAAGACATGCCGCTTCGTCTCGGCGAGGGTAGACGGGTCACCTTTGGTGGTGGAATTCCGATGTAAACCAATAGTCTGGCACATGTTGAAGGCAAGAGATAGATATGTCCAACAGCGCTGGATATCGAATTCTTCCTGGGCTTTGATTATCTGCTGGTGTCAGCGGAAGCTCGGCGTTGTACTGACATCCCTTACCCCAATCAAGAGTGCTTGTATCTTTTCAAGTGTGGGATCCACCATGAGCTCATGGCTGTTTAGCCCCAGATAGAAGCGATGTTCGCAAATCTTTGCACTTGAGGACAGGTCATATCGCGCGAGGTCTGGATGTCCTTCATGGAGATAATCACGGATGATATAATAGAGAAGGCCATACAAAAGAGTCAACGAACCCGCAGGGACCGGGTTTATTGGGAAGTAGATGGATTGGCAGAGGGATTCGACTTGGAGAAAGTCTCTCCAAGAATGGCTGACGAGAAAAAATGGAGGTTTTGCTATTTTAATCAGCCGATGATTGGAGGGCGGGAAAAGATCACCCATACCTTTAACAGCCCTGACCACCGCGACAACCAAATCTACTGGAAGTAGTAGCTTGGGGTCTTGCATTGATGACGGTAGACCCGTCTCTGTCGGGTGACCATTGTTGGACGAATCTTCGTCCGCGAGGCTGTTCTTCAAGGACGACAGGACGGCGGACACATGGTCATTCAGCCCACTATTGTGGGATGTAGAGATAGCTGACAGTGCTGCATCCTTAGCAAGCAGTGTCTCGTGGTGGAAGGACGACTGCCCTTCGAACGGTAGTGTGGCATGAGCAGATGATTCTGGAACGGAAACCGAACCAGCTGTACCGGGAGCCGAAGACTGTGTGATTTGCGCAAGTGTTTGATTGATAACGGCGAGTTGTTCTTGAAGAGCCTCGAACCTTTGTTCACTATTGCCATAGTCAACTCAAGCGCATGCAAGGACGCCTTCAATACTGCCTTACTATTGGCTCGACTCATTCCGCCGAGGCTCTGGGACGCTGCTACTGCTACTACTGGTAGTAGAGATACCGGCCACCCTGCAAGGTATCCCCAATGCACCACAGCTGGAACATGGAGTGGCTTTGTCACACTTGATCTGCTGTTTGTTAGATGCGTGTTGAATGGCCTGAAATAGCTGCTATTCAACATACCTTTCGGGCTCTGCAGTTGTCACACTAGTAATAATTGTTAATCCGTGGCCTTTGGCACGCAATTGGGAGGGAAATGTACCGCACGAGCGCGAAAGGAATTCCTAGCTACAGTGGCCATTCTATCCGCGATTGGCATTTGGACATACTAGTGCTATTGCCTGGGGACGTGCAAACCATTGGAGGTGAAGGAAGAAACAGACCGAAAGGGAAACAATGGGTCACATGATCTCCCGTCAGCATCCCGAATATCCTGTTTGGTATTAGCGCGTCCCGTGTCTGTACACAGTATGGAACCCTCTTTGGGACAGCATCAGTTCTTCCTAATCAGTACTGTTTTTTCTTCCACCGGGCATACTCTAAATTTTATTTTTCCACTTAGGCATTTCAGCGACATTGGGTTGGAGGCCGGGATAACCAGTCCGAATGTCGGCGAAATTCTATTCCGACCACTCATGCATCACCGAAGACCGCCCAACTTTCCGGCTAAAACCATGTCTGATTTATGGCGATTTCCCCGCAATGACGTTTCCCCGTCTGCTTGCCAAGTTACTTTAGGGTGGAGGTAGGGGTGCATTATGGTGGTCTGTCAATGACCCCCACATTTACCCCGGATTAATATAGCCTGAATTCATGGGTATTGTTAGCGTGGGGATCAGTACCGGGAATTGAAGAAGATGCAGATCTCGGTATTTAAATCACCTTGATTGCTCTATGGGAAGAGCAAACCCTAGAATACTAACATCATGCGTTGGTCATTGTTGACCGTACTACTGTGTCTCGTAGCAATTACGATAGCAGAGAACGGCTTCGATGGATGGCTACGATATGCTCCTGTGCACTGCGACAAACGCTGCCAGCGGGCATTACCGTCGAGCATTGTTACGTTGAATGGCACCGACTCAGGCCCCATAGGTACTGCTAGTCAGGAGCTGCAAACTGGATTGGAGAACATTGTTGGCAAGCAATTGTCTATCAAGCGTTCCAGCTGTGGCTCGCGATCGTCGATTCTGGTCGCTACCCTCGAACAATACCGCCAAGCCTGCAATGAAAGCTCCGAAGTCCCTGTCCTTGGCATTGATGGCTTTTGGCTGCGGGCTTATGGCGATACTGTTCAGATCCTGGGAGAAAATGAAAGGGGTGCGCTGTACGGAGCTTTTGAGTATCTCTCACTCCTGGCGCAGGGCAACTTCTCTCACGTCGATTATTCCACCAGTGCGCATGCACCGGTCCGATGGGTGAACCAGTGGGATAATATGGATGGGAGCATCGAGCGTGGGTATGCTGGGCCATCCATATTCTTCGAAGATGGCCACATTGTTGAGGATCTATCCCGTGTCAAACAGTATGCTCGCCTTCTAGCGTCCATCCGAATCAATGGTATTGTAGTGAACAATGTCAATGCCAATGCAACGCTCTTGACATCCCAGAACATGGATGGCCTAGCTCGCATTGCAAATGTTTTCCGGCCATATGGCATCCAGATCGGCATCTCTCTCAACTTTGCTTCTCCAGATACCTTAGGTGGGCTAGGGACTTACGACCCACTTGATCCATCCGTCATTTCCTGGTGGGCCAACATCACCGACAGCCTGTATGATCGGGTGCCAGACATGGCAGGATATCTGGTGAAAGCCAGCTCTGAAGGACAGCCTGGCCCTGATACATACAATCGCACACTAGCTGAGGGAGCCAACGTTTTTGCCAAAGCCCTACAGCCGCACGGCGGGATCCTTATGTTTCGCACTTTTGTATACGACCATCATATTAACGAATCGATCTGGACAAATGACAGGGCAAATGCACAAGTGGACTTTTTCAAGGAGCTAGATGGCCAGTTTGAGGAGAACGTGATCCTGCAGATAAAATATGGACCCATTGATTTCCAAGTCCGTGAGCCGGTGTCTCCTCTGTTCGCCAATCTCTACCAAACCAACGTCGCGATCGAACTACAAGTCACCCAAGAATATCTCGGCCAACAGGATCACCTAGTCTATCTATCTCCACTATGGAAAGAGCTTTTAGATTTTGACCTCCGCGTCGACCATCAACCGTCAGTTGTTCGCGACATAGTGTCGGGGCAACGGTTCGATCGCCAACTAGGCGGATGGGCAGCGGTGGTTAACGTTGGCACGAACACAACATGGTTAGGGAGCCATCTTGCAATGTCTAATTTGTATGCTTATGGCCGCCTGGCGTGGAGTCCTACGGACGATTCGCAAGGCATCCTGCAGGACTGGATTCGCCTTACCTTTGGACGTGATCAAACTGTGTTGGATACTCTCACTGACATGTCGATGGCTTCGTGGCCCGCCTATGAAAATTACACAGGAAACTTGGGCATTCAGACGTTGACCGATATTCTCTACACGCACTACGGGCCCAACCCCGCGTCGCAGGATAATAATGGTTGGGGACAATGGACCCGCGCGGATCACGACACGATTGGCATGGATCGCACCGTGAAAAATGGCACAGGGAATGCCGGCCAATATCCAGCCGAAATTGCACAGGTGTATGAGGACCTTGACAGCACGCCGGATGATCTGCTGCTGTGGTTCCACCACGTTCCGTATACGCACCGTCTCCACTCTGGGAAAACCGTCATCCAACACTTTTATGACGCACACTACGACGGTGCAGTGACCGCCCATCGCTTCCTATCCCAGTGGGAATCTCTCAAAGGTCGTATCGACCAGCAACGCTACAATGACGTACTGTCTCGCTTAATCTACCAGGCTGGGCATTCTCTTGTATGGCGGGATGCCATCAACAACTTTTACTGGAACATGTCGGGAATTTCAGATGAAAAGGAACGAGTGGGTCATCATCCATGGCGCGTGGAGGCTGAGTCTATGACCTTGGATGGCTACGAGCCGTACACAGTGAGTCCTTTCGAGACAGCGTCTAATTATAAAGCGGTTGTTACAACCTCAAATTCCACCACCGGCACAGCCCAGACACGACTCGAATTCCCCTCGGGGACCTATGACCTCGGTGTCAACTACTATGACATGTATGGTGGGAAATCTGAATGGACAGTCTATATTAATGACCGCCTCGTGGGACGATGGGAGGGAAACAGCGAGAATACTCTGGGGCATACGCCTTCCATCTATATTGACGGCCATTCCGCTACCCGGATCACGTTTCGGGACGTGGAAATTGAGAACGGTGACCAGTTGAAGATTATCGGAGTGCCCGACGGCATTGAGCCTGCTCCTTTGGACTATGTGGTGCTACTTCCACCAGATGTTGTAGACTAATTTAAGCGCTCGTGCACATTCGAGATATTCGGGACGATCATCTCAAATTGTGGGAGTTTTAGTAGGGCTCTGCCGTCATTGTCAGCAATACAAAGCTATTCATTTTTAGTTTCCTTATGCCACTACTCGGTAAATATCATGAGGTATAGCCACAGAAGACAAGAGGTAGTAGTAAAATTCACAAACTTGCGAGGCTCCACAGCTTGGATATCGTGCAAGATTTGATTATTATGGAAATCGATAAACAGACCGCCTCAACTGGTGCATACTGAGCAACCCCTAGCGCGCAATTGGGAAACCTCTGACACGATACGCTTGTTCTCGAGATTAGGGGAGCCCGGCCGAAGAGGATAGTCGCCCATCCTGAAGAGCTTTGCAGCTTCGACGGTAGTTACTTTCCCCTCTCCTTCCAGCTTATCGGGAACCGCAAGAAACTCATCCGCCATCACAGAAAATGGGGTATCTATAGTGCTCGGCTTCGTAGAGCCAGGCAAAGCCGCAACCCACAGCTTATTCTCGGCATATACAAAGGGCCATAATTGACTCAGAAAATTGTACCTTTTCTGATAGTAGAAGATGTTGCTATGTGCCTTGACCGTTACCCATCGCCTCTCGGTAGTTATGTCACCGATTTCCTCCTCGCTGAAATATTTCTCTTCTCCACCAATTCCTAGCCTCAGATCTTTGAGGTCAAGGCTAGCCAGGAGAGCATCCTTTTGCTCGATCCGATTCTCTGTCATAACACCTATTGGCACGTTGCTCTCCTTTACGACATCATCGTCGGTTTCATTCCGCTGCGACCATTCAAGAATCCAATCGTATCCGAGGAAATGCAAGTCGCAGTTTACTTCGATGATAGCCCATGGGCTCATGCTTCTGGGGCTGGTGCGAGTTTGTTTGACGATGCTACCGCCTTTAACCTTGTAACTGGCCCGGGAGGAAGGCGATATAGTGCTGTTGTACGAATCTGTCAGCCATCGTAACATGGCAGAGATGTGGAATTCTCGGCGTGTGTGCTGTCCTAGCTGGATTTATATAGTATTGGCATTGAATGAGCCTTGAACAGTCTGTGTTGTAGGTACTGCCTGCGTGTCAGTTCAGCAAGATTGACTGCGCAATGGTATGGTGAGTCACAGTAGCAAAGCCCACTGGCAACATTCGCTGGGGCATTTGAGGTGAGAGCCTGAAGAGGCCTGCCTAGAAGCCTTGGCACTAGGTAAATTTTAGTCTGAGATTTAACACGACATGAATCACCAGAATGTGTAGCATGTTGGATCACTGCACCTCTCTACAACCTTGGATGTAATTCCCTAATCTTGTCCAAATGACTGTCATGACCTCGATCTGTTTCAAAAGAGGTGGTGAGATGAGATTCCAATGATAGAGACAAGTCTTTTAATTATTCGCCCGGTGTGCAAGTGAGTATATATTCTATTTCAGGGACATCTGTTAGTACTGTACTTAAATATATATACAACTGAAAAGAAGTACTTTTATAGGGATAGAGATGTAGAAAAGAGAAAACAACAGATCAGACAGCCTCCTGACCCTGCAGACCCCACTTCAAATGAGCAACACCACCCATACCAATCATCCACACCTCCCGATACTCATTAGCATCCGACCAGATGAAATTATTAACCGTGAAATTCGTCTGCACACGCACAATCATATCTCCATATTCATCCATCACGTTCAATCCGTTCCCAGTCGCCGTAACAACGTACCCATTGCGCGCAACTTTGAGTCCATCCGGAACAGAACCAAGGGCATCATAGTAGATAGGCCTCTTGTTGATGATTGCGCGACCGTTGTCAACGAGATCGAACTTGTAAATTGCGCGGGTGCCAGTAACATTGTATAAGATTCCTGCGCCGCCGGGACTGGGAACGTCGGGTGAGATGGGCGCCGAGAGTCCAGAGGCTGCTGAGTCGCTGATGTACATGTATCGACGGTCTGGGCTGAGTGCGATTCCGTTGGGTGAGAACATGTCGTCATTTGCGATGACCGTCGACCCCGTGGCTGGGTCGAATCGATATGTTCCTGACTTGGTCTGCGGGGGTATATCGGCGAGCTCCAACCACCAGGAGTAATAAGGGGCGGTGAACCAGATGAAGCCGGTTTCCGGATCGACAATGAGGTCGTCGCAGTCGGTGAAGGTCAAGCCATAGTAGTTGTTTAGGAGTGTTGTGGATTTGTTAGTTGCTGGATCTAAGGTGACGATACCGGGTCGTTGTTCACCTAGACCGGGGATAGAGGTGTTACTTCCTGCCACGGAGAAGTAGACGGTGTTGTTGTGATAGAAGCCTCCGTTGGGGATGTAGATGGGTGGGTCGGCGGTGAAGTACGAGAGAGAGGGAGGATCTTGATTGAGGTCGATGGTAAATTGGGGGAGGTTTGTTGAGAGCTCTGAGAAGTAGATTCGGTTCTGGGTTGGGACGAAAACAGGGGACTCGTGTATGTGGTTAGCGTCCACGGAGAAAACAAACTCCACGCTGGGAGAGTCTCCTAGGACCTCTGCTGCACGGGACTCGTCAAAAACAATGAAGTCGGCCGTTGATACATTTTGCCAGGAGGCATCCGCGGGTACTTCAGTGTCGCCATAGGTCGGGATGTCTCTGCCGTCGGGAGCAGCACGGTGGAAGGGATATGGGAGATTAGCGGCATGCTGTTTCAAACACACGACACCAGGGGCGATGCAAGGGCGGACTATAGGGTCATTTGGAACTACTATTGAGGATGGTGTGGGCAAGGATGTCGTCGTTCCACGTGGAATAATGGCAGCTGCGTTGGCCAAAGTGGTGGCCAACATTAGAGATAACGTATTACGATACACCATAATGAAGAAGGCGAGGAAACAAGCGAGGTTTTGTGACAGTGTGTTGCTTATCCCTGGACTCAAGCCAAAGGCATGTTGTCTGTCAGGGGAGCAGCATCATATTTATACTGGTTCATGCTCACTCGGAGATGATATAGATCATTTTAAGCAGAGTTCGGAGTTGAATGGACGTAGACCCACAACGTCCCAATATGCCCGAGCTTTAGTATTGTTGGCAACTCTATATAAAAGTCTTTATCAGGTCTGTGGGTTCGTTATCGATCTAGATCCGGGGGCCAAATCCAAATGATTGGTGGGCTTGACAGGACTAGGGTTTCGTTAGCTATGAAAACTACTAGCCATATTGCTATTCTGAAGGGCATACATACACAAGACCCATTAAGAGAATCACAATCGCGACAATATCATGGCGTTTTAGCCACTGTGGTCCCAGCTGCATAGGGCTGATATGCCATGTGCGCTTACCTATGCAGGATGGCCTGAGGCATATACTCAATCCTTGAAACAGGTCAAGGTGTCGATTGGCTCGGAGGTGAATGGCCTGTGGGTCTCTATTCCTTAGTGACGACTTGCCCCACTTGCCAATCTTCTCCGAGCCACTGAGAGTCCATCCCATGGCCAATGGTACCCCTGACTGTGAGCCCTAGAAATACGTTTAGTGTAGGGATATGATGCTTATATCCTTTAATGTTTGATTTCGGGGTACTTTCTATGACAATGAGTTGCTCCTGGCATACATACTTGGATCTATCACAAAGCCGTTGTCTCGGCATCTCATTACGACGGCCGATTCTGAGCCAGGGAATATCTCGGTTCTCTGATGCATCCACCAGCATAAAGATCATGTTCAGAGTCAAAAAACAAAATTCCATTGCTATCTGAGCTAACTTGCTTGCTAATCATTGCTTCAACATCGTGTCCCGGTCTGGCGCCATGCATGTCTTGGATTGAATGATTACCGGCGAATGACAAAAGAGTCAACGCAGAACATCGTGACTTTCTTAGAGGTCTTCACGATTGGATCGAGGCCTACGTAGTCATCCTTCCCCACGCCGGACATACCTATGAAGTATCTAATCTAATATTAGTTCATCTGTAACGGCAGTAAATAATGCAGCAATAGAGGCATACGTCTGCTGAGTCTCCCGGTCGAAGAAGACATGTTCAGTGTTCGGAGAGCCTACATCATACGCCTTGCGACGCATCTTGCTAAAACCATAAATACCAAAGGTTAGCAATGTGATCTCCATGGGCGAGGACACATAGTAACTCACTCAAATATCCGGGCTAGTTGTTTCTTGATGAGGTCTGCTTCTGTCGCAGTGAGTCTCAAATAGGTGACCGGTTCACCCGGCACCTTGTCCATGGCTAGTGCATTCATATACCCTTCGGGAAGATACCGGAAATGTTCGTCCCTTTGTATAAGCTCCTGATGCCCAAGGTAAACAGGAACGCCTAACATTTGGTTGTCCTGCAGCGAACGACATTCCGAGCGAAAGTCCCTCTTACCGTCCTCAATAATGATGGGGACGTCTGAGGGGACTTCTCTAGGGTGAGAAGAAAGCCTATGTGAGACGTTGGAACTCTATTAGCCTTGCTCGAAACAGATAAACAAGTGAATGGGATACAGAGTTTCCTACTGATAGCGCAGCTTGACGATTACTGGTCTTCCGTCAGATACACGTTCGGCGTTGTGAACTTCACTCATATCATAAAGGTCCTCCGATTTCTTGAGTGATATGATTTCCAAGAGTTTGAACTCATGTCCTTGAATCGTAATGCTTCGCGACATACTGACTCTGTAAGGACCTCTTTCACGAGTGAAAGATTGAGATGAAATGGAGAACCTACAGAGAGGTGGAGTTTTATTCAATTACAACAGAATGATGCCATAGGAAGGCAAGGATGGAAGTATAACCATTGGTACTGGACCTTTCATCCAAGAGTTTACTTTCTGTGACTAAACTTAAAGAATAGCCTGAGATAAATAAGAAGAACTGGCCTACCGTGCTGATGGCAAATATTAGATTGATTTAGTGTGTCTATAGAGCTTGTGTTATTTAACGCAATTTCTTTAATAACTAGTAATATACTAGGTAGCTGTAATAGGTAGCTAAAGAATGACCTATTTGCTTAGGAGGGTATGACTAGCAGCGAGGCGGTTGGGCTAAGCATATTCCAGATGCCACCACGTGAATGGTACAATGTTGCCAATGAGACTGGCCAAACTGGGCTCCTATTTGCCAATGTCTTTCAGCAATTGCACCTGTCTCGCAGGCACATGGGGTTAGCATGACATTTGGGGTTCTCCACAGTGTCAATACACTGATACTACAGTAAAATGAGAAGGTCGTACCCATTTCTGTCTCACGCTCGCATATGGAGGTACGCTTTGTTGGTGAGATCAAGACCTCTTACACCACTAGCCTGGATAATATGAGGCCAAAGAATGAGCGCCATTTCTTTGGTTAGTAGATGGGTGTGATGTCACATAGTACCAATATGGGTGGCTAACGTTAGCATAGGATAGGTAGTATGGTACATAACCCCTGGAATGAGGTCTACCTTAAGTGCTACTTGGCAAACCACCAACGAAGCTGGATGAACTTATATTCGCAGTTGAAACCCAGGCAGGCTCCACAGATTATATAAATAATCTGTTCACTGGCTACTGTCAAGGGATATGTCGGCCGCATTCCTGGCTGTGCATCCCTAGTGACGACCCTTAAAAAGTATCTATACCACGGATCAGGGCTTGGTGGGTTTATATAGGGCAAGGACTTATTGATAGCCCGGATGATGGTCTATGTGGATCAGCACTTTGGAATAGTGTTGATCGGATTCTGAGGTTCTTTGGATATGTTTCGAAGTCAGAGCAGTTCAGAGACTGGTGTTTTGCAGTGGCGTCCAAAATATTCAAACTAATACTAAGCTCGCGGGGCAAATCGGTCGTAGAAAGCGGAGTGGGCACAAACACGTGGAGTTTGCCGACATCTTCTAAATCTTGAACAAGCTTATTGAAAAGCACATGTGGTGACCGCTTGGCTTCTGCGCTTCTTTACCAGAAAGTGCTTGACATTGCACGGCCGCGCTTGTACCTACCAAGAGACCATATTCCTGAAGCGAACGAAGCGTTCACGTTCCCCCAGCCATTCAGCATGGGACTCTCTCACTAGAAAACCCCATCAACCTCAGCCTAAGGGAGTGCTTCTTTGCTATGGCCACAAACGTCACGGGGAATTAAAACTGGAGGTATAGCGGTGATATGGTTTGCCGTAGTCTCGTGAGTCGTATCTTATACCTTGACGCAGGGCCTCTGTTCAGCGAAAATAACAATAGTTAGAGACATTTTTGGATGAATGAGATCCTGTGTTGAGTGCTGGAGCCAACTAATCGTGTAGAACCTAGCGAAAGTATCACGTTTTGGCCTAGACTTTGTGAGTTAGCATATGCTGTATTTCTTGCCAACGGCTGCTAATTGTCGCAGTCGCTTGGAAGCAGAGTTAGGTCCAGTTCGGTTCCGTCTGCCCCTTCCTGTTGCTCTGTTTATGATGTCGACCGATAATGCCGGCGTCCATGAGTGGGACCCCGAGTCAACCTCGCTCACGGTTACAGCTCGCACATGGGTTGCGCCTCTCAAATCGACCAGCGAAGCATGCAAGTCAATCCGTGTTCTCAATACAATTGGCGGTACCTAGTGGGCATTGAATCATTATGGGGAGGATAGACAGAGGATCGTGGCTTAACTGTCAGGCTTCGGCCTGCCTGCTTCATAAACATAGTTACAGATATGCTGGCGATGGACGGGGCAGCACCTATCTTTTGAGCAGCTCACTACCTTGCACAAGGTGCAAAACATCCTGATGCCCATCTTGGTTGCAAGGGCTCATTGCTCCCCATAATCATGGTTGAAGTCGGGTTAGCGAGTTCCTTGTGAGGATGTTCGATAGTACACGAGAGATTCAATATCATGCAGGAATTGTGCAAGACGGAAACGGGGTTTCGTTCATGCCGATGGGGATATGGAGCGAGATAGAACCGTGGGGCTGCAGGAAAAGGCTAGTGCTGCCTAATCCTAATTGTCTTTGGAGTGGTTTACAATGGCCGTGACTGCTTTATTGGGCTGGACATAAGATATGTATGTACTATCGCGGCTACATGATGGCTGATGGTACCAAGCAATATTGGTATCAATAATCATACTAGTTCCGATACTGTATTCCATTGGAATGGTTGTAGCTTAGAATATTAATATATCTTGTGTCTGTTACTGTATCAATGCCAACATGCTATATCTCGGCGACGCCATCAAACATCAACAGTTTGCCCACACGTAGGGTAACATCTAATCCCGCTCTGTGCCAGTGATATGGTGCCATTACGAGAGACTCCCATGCATGTCACGTAATATCCCCACAAAGCCAAGTCGGCTCCACATCATGTTGTATGTGGAGAGGTTGATCACTTATGCGGGGTCCCCGCAAGATGCTACATTCAAATCCTTCGCACAATAATTGACGTAATTGTCTCCAGGGTGTGGAATCCTCCGGGATTTCCTGTGATCTTTCCGTATAGCAGTGAGCCTATATGGCATTAAAATAGTGTAATGGTATGAAGATAATAGTGATCAGTTGCAAGAAGCCGTAGTGGTATGTCACTTGCCCTGTTACCATCTAACGGGGTATCCTCGGGGTGGTCCCGAGACTAGTACCTTCACTTGTTTAGGGTCTTGGGCTCTGGCAGAACAAGGGTAGTATTCTCCTTATACAGATTGCCTGCAATGCCGATAGGATCTGCCGTAGTCTTGGCTGAGTAGGTCATGAGCCATGAGTAGATATGGTGAAAGCGAAGTATTTGAAGCTAGTTGCGGGGGTGTCTTTATTTGCCAAGGCCTCTATATTTAATGGACCAGTATCCCTCCTTGACGGACGTATGGACTGCTGGGGCATAGGCCATCGATACCAGGGTTCATCGTTTTCATACTGTATCTACAATGCGGATTGACTGTGCAGTGACGAGCCTGGCAGCTCTGGCTTCAGGCTGCATAGCCCTATCCACCAAGGGCTACGTACCTAGAAGCCATTCCCTATCGCGACGCAATGACAGTGTTCCTATCTACAAGGACGCGTCATATTGTATCGACGAGCGTGTCGAGGACCTCCTATCCCGCATGACAGTCGAGGAGAAAGCTGGCCAACTATTCCACAACAGATTGTTTGACGGTCCTCTTGACGATGAAGGAACAGGCGACAACGCCCATAACAGCACTAGCAGCACTATCACCGACAAGCATATAACACATTTTAACCTGGCGAGCGATATCACCAACGCCACAGAGACAGCTGAATTTATCAATAGCATACAAGAGCTAGCATTACAGACCCGACTAGGTATTCCGGTCACCATCTCGACCGATCCTCGACATTCCTTCACGGAAAACGTAGGTACCGGATTTGAGGCGGGAGTGTTCTCCCAATGGCCGGAATCAATTGGCCTTGCTGCACTTCGTGACCCTTACGTCGTGAGAAAGTTCGCCGAGGTCGCAAAGGAGGAATATATTGCTGTTGGAATTCGCGCGGCATTGCACCCTCAAGTGGATCTGTCGACGGAGCCACGATGGGCTCGTATTAGTAACACCTGGGGTGAAAACAGTACCCTTACTAGTGAGCTGCTCGTTGAGTATATCAAGGGCTTCCAGGGTGATAAACTTGGCCCTCAGTCCGTGAAAACGGTTACTAAGCATTTCCCTGGAGGAGGGCCCGTGGAAAATGGCGAAGACTCTCACTTCACTTACGGGAAAAACCAAACGTACCCGGGCAACAATCTTGAAGAACACCTGAAGCCTTTCAAAGCGGCGATCGCTGCCGGTGCAACCGAGATCATGCCGTACTATTCCCGGCCCATTGGCACTGAGTACGACCCAGTCGCTTTCTCATTCAACAAGCAGATTGTGACCGAGCTATTGCGCAATGAGCTCGGATTTGAGGGTATCGTGTTGACGGACTGGGGTCTTATTACGGATGGTTATATCGCGGGACAGTACATGCCTGCGCGAGCTTGGGGTGTTGAGAATCTTAGCGAGCTTGAGAGAGCTGCAATGATCTTGGACGCCGGCTGTGACCAGTTTGGAGGCGAGGAGCGCCCGGAACTGGTTGTTCAACTTGTCCAAGAAGGTATCATATCTGAGGATCGAATTGATGTCTCTGTTCGCCGGCTTCTCAGAGAAAAGTTCGTTCTTGGCCTTTTTGACAATCCTTTCGTTGACGCCGAAGCTGCTGGCCGAATTGTTGGCAATGACTACTTTGTCCGTCTGGGCAGAGAGGCCCAGCGGAGGTCGTATACTCTCCTCAGCAACAGCGAGGACATTGTCCCCTTGAAGAAGATTGAACAGAGTACAAAGTTCTATATTGAGGGCTTCAACGCCACCTTCATGGAATCATGGAACTACACCGTCGTCGATAGTCCTGAAGAAGCTGACTATGCTCTTCTGCGATATAATGCACCCTACGAACCTCGTCCAGGGGGATTTGAGGCAAACATGCATGCCGGTTCACTCGCATTCAATGACACTGAGAAAGCTCGCCAGGCTAAGATATACTCAACTGTACCCACAGTTGTGGATATTGTTATGGATCGCCCCGCAGTTATTCCCGAGATCATTGAGCAGGCTAAAGCTGTGTTTGCGAGTTACGGCAGCGATAGCAATGCTTTCTTGGATGTGGTCTTTGGTGTAAGCGCGCCTGAGGGAAAGCTGCCATTTGATTTGCCCAGGTCAATGGAGGCCGTGGAAGCGCAGATGGAGGATGTGCCATTTGACACGAGGAATCCGGTGTTTAAGTTTGGGCATGGGTTGAGCTATGCTAATCGCTGTGCGAGTAGCAGCAAGTGTTCTTAGGTGGAGGTCTACGGCGTCGAAGCTTAGTTGGGTTTTGCAATGGAGCCGGCATGCTGTGGCCACTGCCAGGTTTGTGAGAGATGTCTAATGCTATGGCGAACCCTAAGTAGTACATAGATATGATGAATAGATCTAACTTACCCAGAACATCATAATTATATGATTTCCTGTGCCCGCTTTCCAGACACACGAGGTGTAACCCGAACAAGCTCTATATTATAGAGAGAACTTATATATCTAGACTCCCTGCCAAAGCTGACCACTACCTGAATGGTTGGAATTTTATCTCCCCATTCTCCATCCCTCGCCCCACACTAGATCGACCTAAGCAGAGCACTCCTTCTGAGATCCATTGGAATAGAAATAATCCTCATTGATCTTGATCGACTCAGTGTACCAAGTCTTACCCTGATCGGATGTCGTGAAGCCGCTCGACGTAGCGTTCATTAGGTTCAGGGTATGGCCGAAGTTGGGATCGGCCTCACTGAGATGGATGGTGAGCTTGTCCCAGCTGTAACCAGCGACCGTACCACAAGTGCCGAGGTAGCATTCGTTGCTGGAGTAGAGGAAGGTAGGATTGATAGATTTGTCTTTAGTGATACTAGGTTAGTGCTGACCATTGTATACGGTGCTGATTGATTCAGGGGGCATACCGTCAGATTGTTCAGACACCTGCTTTCCTTCAATGGAGACCTGCTGAGTGATCTTCTTGTCATCGACAGTAACTGGCATAGTTAATCCTCTGACTGTTTCTTGAGATGGGGTTTGAAACTTACTAGTAAAGTCAAGATGCGAGCCGTTGGGGACAGTGATATATGGCTGTTGCACCTGTCCGGCTATTGAGCACATGTATTAGTGCAGGTCTGAAATTCATATAATTGCAATAACTTACACAGGTGATAAGTGCTGGTAGCGACACACCACTCCTGGGCCGTAGCCGGACAGCCCCTGACATAAATTAGCGACTTGTCCCATCTCACGCTGACTTTTATAATCATGGCATGAAGTCAACGTACTGGGACTCCTGGTCTGGCGACCAGTTCAACAAAGGCTGGAACAAATCCGCGGTCTGATCCGACATCGAGGCAGAGATACCGACCCAGATGGACAACCAGGGGGCATCGTTCTGCTTCTCCTGGGTAGTACCACAAGGGATTGCAGGAGGCACAAGTGAATAGGTAGCCTTGGTGATTTGGGCGTTGTTTGTGGTAGGTCCAACGGCAAACATGTTTCCGAAGTGCCAGTCTTCGTAGAGAGCGGCGGCGCGCAGCGCCAGGGCAAGGGGGACGACAGCGTAGAAGGGGCGCATTGTTACCAGACGATGCGAATAAAAATACAGACAAACAAAAGAAAGGCTTGAAGGAAAAGAATGATATTGGTGTCCTGACTTCACGACCCAGGGTCTATATAAATGTTCAAGATGCAATTGGGTGGAGTCCTGTCTCGGTGATTTTTGTTTTAGGATCCACTCTGGACTCCATCAACGGTAAACAGAGACATTCCCCGACAAGTATTGTCCAGACACGGCATAAAATACGAAAATCACGGCTTAATCAAGAAGATCATCCAATTGTAGAGTTGCTAAGGACCGCCATGCCCCAACAGGTGCCGCCCGGAAATTAGCTTGCCGTCAATAGTGAGACATAAGTTGAAGCGCTTGATTAAAATCTGCGCCCTACGGATTAGCTGAGCGGCATATAGTATGTAATTACTATCATGGTGTTGGTTTAGAAGAGCTCACCTCCTTTACTGTAGATTCGTATCTGAATACTATCGTCTCAGCAATAGTTATTTTAAACCTCCATCAGGGCGAAGGTCGTATTGTGCTTTCCATTGAGTAGGATATTCTGACATGGTCAGCTAGATACTGTAGCTGAACAGGTTTAATTGCAATGTCCCAGGGTTTGGGTCTGTGTGAATTTAGTCAATAACCGTTGTAAGGTCGAATGGCATGATTTTAGTATTAGCTATTCATGTCAAAATGTCTGCCAAGTGCTTCTAATCTCGTAATTGTGTAGATCTTTATAGAACCATGACTACTACACCATTTTTAACATTTTACAACTACCATAATTGGAAAAGATATCATGCCGTGAAGACCTTTCCCTTCACAGCCCCTTCTGTATTCCCGTCTCGGCCTACTTCTTCATATCTCCTTTTCAGAATATAACCCCATCTTATACGGCCTAATTCTGTTGTGAACCCCCTTTTTAGTACAGCTGGGCTTAGTTATATCTTCTAATCCTAAGCTGCAAGCCCTGTGCCGACAACAATAACCAGTCCTCAAATACTCTGATAGGCCTTCGAGTGATAAAGCCCACATTTTAGTATTGGATAGGCCTGTGGAGAAAGACCGTATAGCAGGCGTAAGCCTCCTGACGGACCATGTGAGCTTATCTGTAATGTTCAAGCAAGACACCCAAGCCATCCAGCAGTCACTAAAGAGCCAGTTAACGTCTCCATGTGGACATTCCTCTCGCTCACGTCCTCCCTTGACACTTTCACCCGTTACTGACAATTAACTCGAATATTCGATCGGCATCTACATTCGAGAAAATGACGATCTGATGAATTGCCGAGTGGCCACCCAGTCAGCCACGCCTTGAAGAGAAATAAGGCTGGAAACAGTGCCTATAGCGATTTACATACCGCTGTAATTTGGACCTGCACATGCATCCTGGACGGCCGAGAAGAGTATATCCATATGTTCGAATACGCCATACGCTACATCTATGGTTAACAATCGAGGTGATGCCGGCTCGCTGGTACTGAATCTGTTGAATAATGTGATCCGATTGTTATTCGGCCCTATTGGGTACTTCACCTACGCCAAAAATTTGTTGTTACTTGATATCGAGCCTTTCAGCTGCGATGTCGAGAATATCGAGAAGGGTCGTATGACTGCCAACACCGTTCAGGGCAAAGAAACGGATGAGGGTTCGATCGTTATTCCACCGTGTGGACATGTACCCACAATTGCATGTCGTTCCTATATCAATTATTCATCGATGAATTTGGAATATGCCGCTCTGTTTACCGCAGTCTTATGGGATTTTATCGGATACTTATATGGCTTACAACAACGAGTGTGCCAAGCGACATAATGGCTTGACAATCACCCTAGGTCTATACGAGGCAAATTCTGCAGATATTATATCTTCGCTACACGGTCTAGCAACACCAGATAGTGGTGCCACTGTGGACGTGGGAAATGGACAACCCTTATGTCTTAACCCCTTTTGCCTATGTTTCCTGGTTCATATGCCACAGCAAAACGAGAGTGCTGGGTTCAGATGTCATCCAAAATGTCAAAACAGCCGGTGAGGCAACCTACGGAAGATTTTCGTGGAATCAGCGGTTAATTGACGACCAGCAGACGCCTCGTAAAGTATCAGAGTGGAATCTCCAGTTTGAGCAAATCGCCATCGGAGATGAAACGGGCATTCGGGGTCGCTAGGATCAGCAAATCAATCAGACAATATCGGTAATATTCCTCTCACAGAGAACAAAGGTGCAGGATGCCTACACCCATTTAAACGGTTGTACCTTGACTTGGATGCACGCAGAGAAGTTCATAGTGCCATGTTTTATCATTAGTGATGGAAACACATGGGGATTTGTCTGAGCCTCCGTCTCGAACTCATGTACGGGCCTATCCTATTCCTCAGTCATGTTTTGACTTCTGCTGAGGAAAATTATTCGCCTACACTTTTGAATGTTTCTAACTTTATCTGGGCAGTACGAAGATTGAGACAGATGTTTCCTGCAGCCCACACTGATGTATATTCGGTAGTCTACACCGACCATGCAAGTACAGTAGTTGGTCTCGCGGCTCAGACTACATTCTAGCAAAAAGAAGGCTTGGTTAACTTTTATTGATTTTCGGTGTTCTGAGAAGGAGGGTATGAGGAGCTCATTTCTCGCAGACGGTAGGTACAAACTACTGTTTCATGTTGGGAAAAAGATGTCCAAGGCACGATCTTGACGTCATATGGCGTTTTGGCCGAGTACAATATAGAATTAGAAAGAGTTCCGAGATACTGAAAAGTCAATTCCAGTGTGATAGTGAATATCTATAGAGTCCTTGGTTGTCGATCATCATGGTGGTGATACCCGAATGACGTCGACGAGCATGCGCAGGGAAAAGGGTCCCACCACGGGCCGCCAATAACTACATAATATCTACGTAAAAAATATAAAAACAAATAAAACTCCATAAGTAGCCTACCATTGCCTCTTGTCCAATACATAATACACACAACTTCACCAAAGTCGACGAAATGACGAGGCACAACTCATACACAGACCTCCTAATCATCGGCGCTGGACCAGCCGGCCTCATGGCCGCTTGCTGGGCCTCGCAGTATGCAATGACAACCCGACTCATCGATCAAAAGAGTGAGCGCACAAAGGCAGGACATGCGGATGGTATAAACAGTCGAACTATGGAGATTCTTGATAGTTTTGGCGTTGCGGATGTAGTCATGCGTCAGGCGGTTGGCAATATGGATGCGTCATATTGGGTATGTGGTTGTTGTATGAATGTTTTCTACCCCGTAACTTGTGTTCAGTATTTATTTGCAATAGGGTCTTGATGAGAACACGGGACATATCCGACGAATAAAATGCCAGCCATCGCAGCCACAGGAGCTGTCTCGATTCGATCAGATGTTGTTGAATCAGGGTGCCATTGAACAGATTCTGATTGATTATCTCCACTCTAAAGGACGTGTACATGTGGAGAGAGGGCGCAAGGCTGAGGATTTGGAGTTGCCTGATGGTTCCGATCAGAATGGAGACGATGCATTTCCTGTTCATGTTCGTGTTATATCTGCCAATGGAGAAGGTGAGTATTTGGGACGAAGCTTGGGAGGGATCTTATCGCAGTCGGTGATGCTGATCCTCGACTAGACGGCCAATCTGACAATGCCGAAGTCATTCACGCACGATACGTGATCGCCTGCGATGGGGCGCAGAGTTGGACCAGCGCACAATTAAATGTCGATTCCGATGTATGGAAAACGGAGTCCACATGGGGTGTGATGGATATTGTTCCAGATACAGATTTTCGTATGTAAAGCCCTGGTTGTAGTTTCGGGCAGAAGTGCTAAGACATTTATAGCCGATATTCGACGAGCGTGTGCGATCCAATCCGGTGACGGTGGCAGCATGATGGTGGTCCCTAGAGAGAATAACTTAGTTCGGTTTTACTTGCAAATGAATGGTGGTGAGGGAAGGAGCCCAAATGGGCCCGATAAGTCCGAAGGATCTTTAGAAGACTTGATAGATATGGCCGAGAGGGCACTTAGGCCTTACAAGCTGGCGTACAAGCATTGTGACTGGTGGTCTCTTTATCCGGTAAAGTTGACCTGTCGATGCTGGGTAGACATGATAATCTGACATTCGAACAGATAGGACGGCGATTGATAAAGCAATATCACGTTGACCGGTAAGTAATTGGCGAGCCGATCATCAGATGACGAGATTCTAAGTGCCGTTTATAGAATATTCTTCGCTGGTGACGCTGCCCATACCCATTCACCAAAGGGCGGACAAGGCATGAATATCTCCATGCAAGACTCATACAACCTAGTATGGAAGATAGCAGCCGTCATCACGGGAAGCGTGGACCCAGCAATCCTAGAAACCTACCAGTCGGAGCGGCGTCCGGAGGCCGAGCAGTTGATGGAATTTGATACCCGCCTTGTCTACGCTTACGAAGAAGGCAGCATGGAGGACGGTAGTGAAGATGGAGTTGAAGCGGTTCGCGACAAGTATGCCGGCTTCATGGCTGGTGTGGCAGTGACATATTCCCCTAGCATCCTTGTCAGCAATTGCGAAAGTAATACAGCTGTCACCCGAAATATTCAGCTTGGTAAACGGCTGCCGTCGTACCTAGTCGTTGGCCAGGAAGACGGCTGTGTTGTTCATCTAGCCCAGAAACTGGACAGCAACGGCTGCTGGAGGTTACTGATTTTCTCGGGCGACTTGCATAGTCCCGGCATTCGGGATCGGCTATCGCGGTTTGCGAAGGAATTCAGTGGCCGATTGAACAGCCAGCTTGGCCTACAGTCGACGAAGATCTCACAAGTCTTGGAGACATTCTTAATTCATTCAAGTCCAAGATCGTCTTTTGACAAGTCAGAACTTCTGGGGCTTTTTCATCACTTCGGCACGGAGCTCGGATGGGACCATGCGAAGACATTCGCTGATGATCCCTCGTATCATGGGGATACAGGACAGGCGTACCAACAGTACGGCATCGACAAGCAAAGAGGCGGTCTCATTGTTTGCCGACCGGATCAACATGTTGGCTGGACTGGGGATTTAGAAGATGTAGAGGGTCTAGAAAAGTACTTCTCCAGGTTTCTGATTAGAAGGGAAAGGGCATGAGGCAACTAGACATGCACATGCCAAAGACGTAGATATACAATACACTGTATATAAGAGACTAAAGTCTCAAATACTTCGTCATGTGGTATACCAAGGAAAGTTCCCTAAAACAGACAAGACGAATGGCTTGCCGATCAGGTCTAGGGCGTAAGGCTTTATAGCAGGAATATGGAGCTTCATTATCACCCCCGAAGCGTTACATAGGCATCCACTGTAACTGACTAGGCGTACCGTTTGCCCGAATGACTATGAGACTATGGTTGGACTGGTAAATCCTCAGCAGCTCGGGCTATGCAAAATAGCTCACCACCTGTCCCACATGGATACCTGAACCAGAGCGCCAAGAATGATAAGATATGGGGTCAAAATACGTCGGATAGGGCGTGGAAAGGGCGTGCATGTGCCTGTGGTGTAGCGTCCTGAAATAGAGTCAAAGCGGCGCACGGGCATCTTCGAACCCTAACCTAATGTTTCATGATCGAGTTTGCTCCGGCTGTGCCGCCCCCTGGACCCTCATCAGGAACCATTGAAAACCGTTTTTGTGGGCCCCAAAACTGCGCGGTTTTCTAATCGAAAAGACCAGCAGGCAGCAGATCCAGAAAGCCATTTCGTCTCTCTGTTCCTGTCCGGTGCTCGTTCTGCATCATCTCAGTCAAAAGAATAGGGCACTATAATGGAACCCAATTGACGGGATGAATCTGCTAGATTATTCTGTCTGCTCGGCTGCCGCTCAGTCGGTGAAAGACGCACGTAAACTCCTGTTCCGCTGCCAGTATCCACACCCCTTCCAGGGTCCTCCACGGGGCTGATCATGCCCAGTATGAGCGCGGGAGTTTTCCCGCCAAGCTTTGCGTGTCTCCATGTGCTTGTCGGATATGAGATCCGACGTTACCGCGAACAAGCGAAGCTTTTGTCCTAGTTTATGTGAGTATGAATGGGACAGTAAGGTTTTCGGTAGTTCAACATCTATGCTGCTGGTAAGACCTGGCAGGTGGCAGTTCAAACGTCTGGAAGCATCACAGACATACATCGATTGATACGGCACTGTCACTGTCGCAAGTCGGGCTAATATGGCCTCCCGTTCAGCAGGAGATCCCGTAATCACATCCGACCGATACGGCGTGTTGGATTGGTAAGGCCCACGCAGCTATCTGAGACACAATCCCGCCTAATTTAGTCGCGACACATATCCCGTCACTTACGAAAACCCCTATTCTTCTAGAAACAGCTTACGTTCCAAACCCTCTATTTAAACAGTAAACATGCCGGAGTATAGCATCATTGGTGGTGGACAGTTCTATCGCGTTCACCAGAAACCGTACCATCATTGCTGAGCCACGCGGCTGCTGTGTTCAACATGCAATTGGGCCACGCGAAAATATTCCTCTTTCTTCTGACCCTATCCACACCGGTCTTATCCCGGCGCATTGGTCATAAACACACGCATGTCGCCGAACGACAAGCTCCTGCATGTACGCCAACTGCTGGTGGATCACCCACCGTTGATGATGTACCGGCCATCGAGTCGGCCATGGCTGCTTGTCCGGCTGGAACAATCCTGATTCCACCGAAGTCTACCTATCATATCAATTCCGAACTTTCATTTGCCAAATGCGCCGGCTGCACTTTACAAGTGGAGGGAACGCTGTTAGTATCAGATGATACGAAGGCCTGGAGCGGCAAAGACGCCATCTTGAATCTCGAGGATGTCAACGACGTCAGTATTGTATCGAAGACCGGAGCTGGTGTTATCGATGGCAACGGGCAAGCTGCCTGGGACCTCTTAAACAAGGACAAGAATTATTCCCGTGTTAAGTGTTTACTCTATCTGACCGGCAAAACTTCCGGCGTCACTGTGTCAGGGCTTACGATGAGGGACCCGCCAAACGTCTTCTCTTCAGTCAAGCAGAGTGTTACAAATGTGACCTATACCGACTTGATTCTCACCGCCGTTTCGAAGAGCGATGCACTAGCGAAGAATACCGACGGGTTCGACCTTGGCGGGACTGGCATCCGCATGGAAAACATTAAAGTTGAGAACGGCGACGACTGCATTGCCATCCAGAATGGCGCCGAAGATATCACTGTGAACAATATTCAATGTACTGGATCCCATGGTCTTAGTATCGGTAGTATTGGCAAAACGGCCGGCGAAGTCGACACCGTCAAGAACATTCATTTCAAAAACGCTAAGATGACCAAATGCTCCAAGGCAGCTGGAATCAAGATCTACTCGGGAGGATACGGCACAGCCGAGGTCAGCAACGTCACCTGGGAGAACGTCATGGTGGATGGTACCTCGTACGCTTTCCAGGTCCAGAGCTGCTACGGATCCGACGAGAAGGAATGCGCTTCTCAGCCTAGCACGGCGAAGCTGACCGATATCGTCGTTAAGGGGTTCAGCGGCAAAACGGACAAGGATGAGCCGGTTGCCAGCATCAACTGTCCAGCCAAGGGCACCTGCGGGCTCTCGTTGACTGATATGAAGGTCCAGTCTGCCAATGGACGCGAGGAATACCAATGTTCCAATGCCGGATCCATTGGTGTCAAATGTGTTCCGGGAGCGAGTGGTTAGGCTGTTTCGGCAGGGATATGGGTGGTACAACCGGTTAGCCCTGATTATGGTAGGCTTTCACTAAATCGTTTGGTGTAGGTCTTGCAAGGTCAATGTTAGGAGCAAGCTACTTTTAGCTCCTCTAAAGTACGGTCCTTGTCGATTACTGTACGAGGCTTCCACTATGTAATAATATCCATTTTTGTATATAAGCCCATTGCTCTCTAGTATATACAGAATGCCTGTAATATTCGCCAGCCATCTCGGATGTAACCACGCAGCTTAGTTGCAGGGATCAGATAATCAGCAAGGGACGGGTAAAGCGCCAAAGATAGCCGGTGCATCGAAGAGCTTCAACTCGGCTCTACGTCGACGAACAAGCCCTTCGACGACTTGTCCGTTGGCCAATCTCCATTGCGGCAGTTCGTCATGCACGACAACTCCCAGTTTCTCGCCCTTGTTCAGGCGCGCGATAAGGTCTGAGTTTTGCATGTTGCCTTGGCCGATGTTGTATGTCCAAGAAACCAGGGCAGCGTATTGGTTATCATTCAAGGTTACTGGGTCCGCCAGGGCATTCGTGAGGGCGTCTTGATAGATCTATTTGATATTCCGTATGTCAGCGTGCCCTTCAAATGTGCTAAGATATTGCACGGTAATAACTCACAACCAAGTCATCAGCCAGTAGCCTGCTAGCATCGGGCTCGGACAATGGCTTGGGGTAGGTCACCTCGGAGCAAGTCGCATCGCCACAGAGATGACCATAGCCGATGGTCGGGTTGCCAAAGCCATCGTCGTAAACCTCTGGCTCGTATGACTCAAAGCTCTTGATCAGGTTAAGACCGTTTTGGTTGATGGGAGGTCCAGTACAGGCGACAGCAAGGGCTGGCAGAAGAACTGCCAAGAGCTTGTACGAGGGAGACATGTTGGGTGGTATTCCAGAGAGTTTCGCCCGTTGTGACTTTGATTCATTCGTAGATATGCAAGCCTTCTTATGATTCTCCTATTCTTGGGGGCAGTTTTGTTTTCCCGCTAAGATCTCGTAGCGCAGTTGGAAATACGAGTAGCGCGAAGATCGATATTTCTTGAACACGAGACGAGATCTCCCGCCCCTTGAAGCAGGTCAACTCATCGATAAGGTTCGTGATCGACATTATCTTGCGCTGGGGATGCACATGGCCCACTGCACCTACGATTGAGTGTCTTTACAAGAGTTTGGCCTACTGATTGATTGACAGACACCCCTTCGATACATCTTCGAGGATCTAAGCTTGGCGTCCCGCTAGAGTTCGTACCAGCCGTTGATCTTCACTTGCATTTCTTCATGAAGGCCTTTAAATGGCTATGATCATTGCAAAGTCCCTGAGAATACGAGGCCCTAGGCACAGCCACGTCGAAAGCCGCTTAACTATACTAGTTAGCTGACTATGTTCGCTATTCTTAGCATATCAACTCCATCAATGTCTTGGCCGTGGTGCCTACACTAAACTATGAGCAATTGCTCCCGAATAGCCGTTATTTGTTAGTCAATCTTTCTAGGGCATTTTTCCATGGCAAAGATAATTAGACATGCTCATAGAACGTCAAATATTAGTTGGCAAATGGTATGGAGTAACGAGGCTCTTGTGATATTCGTCAAGCTGTCAGTCACTGGCACTAAGGTAGTACGGCTGGGAGCCCAAAGGGCTCGTGCGGGCATCACTTCAGAATATATTACAAATCCTCACCAACATGGATGACACCCATAATACTACTTTCCAGCTTGAAGGGCCAGTAGCCAGTCACATATGTCCCACAGTAGGTTCCTCGGCCAGCGTCTCGAAAAAGGGTATTGGACAACAACGGCCAGCTGATCGCATAGAACATCACGCAGTTAAAATTCTGAACAATCTCATGGTGAGGTTTATATGTTTTAGAGGACTATAATCTTCAAGTATGTAAGGGCTCCTTCAGTGTCCACTATTCGGTCAGCCGTACATCTTCAGAATATAGTAGGCCAACATCCTACAAGAGGAGTTGTATAAGGGAGGTCGATTTTGTTTGGAATATTGACGGATATATATTTTAATTCAAAGAGAATAAAGTCACATTTAAACATCAAAATTCTCTATATAATTAGAATCTATGGAATATGCAAATACCGTTAAACTACCAGTACCTTCTTTATAGTAGAATGATCGCTGTCCAAAATAAGTTCTGCTATATATTATAAGAGAGTAGATTTCAACATAGGTGCTGCATTTCATCGGCAGGCCGCAAATGAAACTGTGCAAAGGAAGATACAATCAGTCACATATCAGGCTGGCAGAACTGCGCGCCTGGGCCTAAAGAATGAGTAAAAGTGAGAAATTAAGCAACATGATGAGATTAGGTGTCCGTGTAAACCTTGCAGAAGACCTGCAAAAGAGATTCGCAAGCAGGATTTTCGAACAGTAAGCGACGCAGCGGGTAGTGAACTTGGTATACAGAAACGACAAGCGAATGTAGAGCTGGCTGGGAAGCTTACTGGACCACGACAAAAAGCAAAGAGTAAGGATTGGCTATTATGCTCTACGGAGCATGCGATAGAGAAGTTTGTGTGGGAAGACGCGCATTCGCGTAATCCCGTTTTTCGTTTTAGGCTACAAAGAATAAATAGGCCAGCCATGACAAAGAGCAAGCTTTTCTCGCAAGAGAGATCTCAAAAACAAAGACAAACTCTGGTCCCATTTTTTTTTCTCTGCTTCTCTCCGCCATTCGTCCGTGGCCAGGACGATGTAGCAGAAGTCAGCATATGCCAGAAATGGCAAAAGGATTTGAGAAAATGCAGCACCATCGGAAATCGCGCAAGATCAGGCAGTTCTCATGCGAGCACGCAACTTTCTCGTACCGGGCACTTTAGCCAATATTGAAACTCAGCACCGCAGGCATAATACGAAGGAACAGCATAACGGGGGAGGGTTAAATTAAAAAAGTTGCTATGCGGTAGCTTTTCATTATTCCAAAATCGCGTTTGGTCCTGCGCGATACTCCTAGAAATCTTTACCCTTTAAAACTGCCGCATTGCCAGATTGTTATCAAATGGCACGAGGTTCTCGATATCCATGGGCTGGAGTGCACATTGCAAGCCACTGCTTATATCAATATTTGAGAGGTCACCGTTCGCACGGACAGCGGCCAGTAAGCTATACCCATCGAACGCAGCACCTGCTTGGGGAGTCCATTGGACTGGCCCGGCAATAGCAGTGTGCAGTCCGTGTCCACTAATAGGCCCGATATTTTGCACAACAGTGCCCGGTACTTGGAAGTGGGTTGGCCAGATCGTTGGCTCTGGGATAGTAGACTCATATACAGTGACTTGGACGTTCTGCGCATCCTGTGTTCCTCGGTTCTTCACCGCGACATAACAGTAATTGGGAACTCCGACAATGGGCGCCTGGTTGAACAGACCACCATCTGGAGCTTGGCGATTCCAGACACCAGGTGGGTTACCAGGCATAGGAGCGTAGTCATACTCGCCTTCTCGACCGTCATTGATGTATACGTCCACAGCCGGAGGTGGCCCTCGTGTCATGACCCCAGGGCTCGGAGTGTTGAGAGGATGGTAAAGGCCCTGTTTCTCGAATGACCAGCGGATAATCTTCCTGACAGCGCCACCAGGATAGCCAAGCACTGTACCATTGTCCGCCAATATCATCGCAGAGACATATTGGTACGGCATGCTGGCAGTTGTTGTGATGGTAGCAATGCCTCCAATGATCAGATACAGAGTGTACCTTGACGCCCAGTTCTGCTTGTGGAGATTACCGATCGCATCTCCACCAATGGCCCGATAGAGGCGGAAAAGAGTGGTTGATAGAATCTGCTCGCGAAGGTAGAACGCGGGCCCATCGCGTCTGTATTGGGGCCCATCCCATGCCCAGCCATCAGTGACTTCGCGGTCATGACGGCGTCGGACAACACTCCAAGGGAATGTATTAAATCGATCTTGTGCATCACTTCCAGGATCACAGTATATGGCAGCCAACGAGTCGCCAGGGCTGTGCGCGAAACCAAACCCCGGCCAGTTAATAGCATCCCACAGAAGTGCATGGCCAAATTCGTGTGCAGCGACGCGGAAATCCGCAGAAATACCAATTTGCGCATTTGCATTAGCCCGGCCGAAGATAAATCCTCCGGAGCCGTTGCCAGCTGCATTTCCTGGAGCTTGTGCATTTACCTGGTTGTTGAAGCCACGATGATCAATAGGGACGGGAAACTGGGTGTTATTGAATATGGTTTTGATGGGAAAGCCCAGCTCAGCCAGAAGCCGGAACAGCTTTGCAATATGGTAGTATGCATTCACAGCTGCAAAATTGTCTGTCTCAACGCTATCATTGAATTCTCCAGTGGCTGTCGTTGGTGGTAGACTTGTAGGCAAATCGAAATCTCTGATTGCAGCATATCTGCCCTCGAGAGCTTGAGGGGTTGTCGTAATAGTGTCGGGCAGGAAAACTTTGTCACGTAGCAGGTTCAAGTCAGCAATGCTGCCACTTGTTGTGGGAGCGTTATGGCCTAGCTTTGTAGCAGGGTCTCGAGCAAACACCCAGCCACTTAGACCAGCTGTGAGCGCCCGCAAGTAGACGATAGAGACCGTCTTGACTTCAACAAATGCTCTCCAGTTGAGGTCACCATATCCAGAGAGCGGGAGAGAGAAAAGAACTTCTCTCACTACATAGTACTGTCCATCCCTGATGGTCTCAGGGACTTCAGGTAAAATTAGGGTAGGTGCAGAATGCTTAGATATTTCCTGCCTATCATCTTTGTGGTAGCGATAGACAAGAAGCTGTTGTTTCTTCTGCTCTGGTTTGAAGTAGATTGCACCTCGGCTTACTGGAAGCGCTAGCAATTGGCCAAGATCCTCCGCTGTAACATCGCTTTGCATGTATTTAGCATCATCTGGAGGTAGTTCTGGCTTGGAGGCTTTTGTGTCGATGCTGCTGGACGAGTTGACTATCTGATTCTCCTCATTTACAGTAATGTTAAGCTTGGCATCCCAAACAGGCAGCCCACCCAAGGTTTGCTGGTAGATCACTGCTGTGCTCCTATAGCGAGGTCTTTCTTGTGCCACTGGGAGGCCGAACGGAGCGTCTGTGGGACTGGCTACGTCAGATAACTTGCTGGGAGTTTCACCAAGGACGTCTTGAGGAATTCTGTAGTCATCGGCCACCTTAAGAAGATATTGATGGGCAGCGCTGATAGGATCTGATGGACCTTGTAGGCCTGCCTCAGGGGACCACGGCTGTTGTGCATGGTCTAGACTTTGGACTGCACCATCGCATTTACGCACAACTTCAACGTTTGGATCTCTGTCAAAGGACATGATGATGAACCAAGGCTTGGCTTGAAATGGGTTTAGATTGTTAGAATCAGGGGCTGTTCGAACGCTCGCAGACAGAGATGAGGTCGAGTGATCGTTTCTCCTTTATACATGGCGGTAGTTGGTGGCAGCAATGCGAGAGTAATTGATGGCGAGGCATTCCACTGCCCCATGATCAAGACCTCTAGTGTGATCCAGACCGTTCTATTCAATGCTTCGACCATAGTCACCTGAGCGATCGACCGATTGATTGTCAAGAACGAGTCTGGGAGGTGCAATAATGGCAAAATACTAAAGCCGGACTCTACAAACACGGCACTTTTTTGCCCTCCCGGTGACCAACCCTCGCTAGACTAACCGGGGATTGGTGCATCTAGTCACAAGATAGCATCTGTATATCGGCAATATATGCTACTAAAGCCTAATTCAATGTCAGAAGACACATTGTGTGGCCTGATACCATGGATGTATATTGTGCAACAGTGATAGTAAGCTCCGGCCATTTGCAGTTATGTCTGATACATCGGAGGCGCGGTCTTAAACAGAAGGCTTCCCTGAATGAGCAACTGATCCACGGGTTTCTGGTCGAGAAAAATTCCCCACGACCGGAAATGGCTCTGCAAATCATACTACATGTTTCTAGGTCACCCATTGGCAGGACAGGCAGAGTGTAGTGGCATGTAGGAGGTGTGCTCTATACACTAACATCTAGTGGTGAAAGTACGGCCTTTGCAACACGAGACTAAAGATGAAATAAGCACTAACAACTGTTATACAGAAGACCGCTTATTGATACTCATGTTAACTCTCTTCTCACCGGGGTGGCTGTGGAGTATCCTCAGCCCCTCTGAGACCGGATTTTGCAGTCTTAGAAGGAAGTAAATTTTCCCTTGTATGTCATTGAGGTATAATAATGTAACAGAACACAAATTCCAAACCCAGTTGCATTCGATTTCGACAACTAGTGCCAAGTATGCCTATTCACTGGAGCGTTCGTGCTAGCATGGCCTTATCGATATTCTCCATTCATTCTGATGGTGCCATTCTCAAGATGATGTTTTCTCACAACTTGGCCCTCACTTCAAAAAAAGCTCCCCATTTTCTGCGACCAAGTGAAAGGTCTGCCACTGCCCTACAGGAATATTTGCAGTGGGTGCAAGTAGAGCAATTACCCCTTGATGGGTTACAACAATAATGTCCTTGCCCATTGATTTATTTTTCAAATCCGTCAGGGTACTTTGTAGTCGGTTGAGAATCTCAGTTCTTCTCTTAGACAGAGGCTGTGGTAGGGGCGAGTCAGGCCCTGCCTTTTTATGCCAGTTCTTGTTCAGATTTTCTATTTCTGACTTGAGTCCGGGGAATTGCTCTGTTAGATCGACCACTTTGGAGCCCGTATTACATGGCAGATCGGTAATTTCCTGCAGATTGGCATCTAGGGCTAACATCACTCCTTTATTAGCACCCACGCCGGAATTTTTAGCATACTGGGTGGAGTCCAAGATCCGGGGGAATGCTGTCAAGGATGTTTGGATAGTTCGGCGGAGCGGGCTGGATATGATTGCGCCGACACAGTTTGAGTACTCGCGGATAAAGCGATGTCCTAGATCTTCCGCAAAATCATAACCTCGTTCACTCAAAGAAGCGTCTGGGATTGTGGGGTCGTTGCGCAAATTGTGCAGACCTTCCGCATGGCGGACTAGGTGAATACGGCCTAGCATTCTGTGAATAAGTTATACAAGATTCACTTGCTTGTAGTATAGATGTGCAGGACTGATAAGTGGAATATAAGTATGATAGGGTTCTTTACAGTTCTTTAAATTCTTCTGTTTCATGGATATTTCCCAGTGCTGGTGGAGAAACTCAACTTAGAAGTAGAAAGTGAAAACAATGGCTGGATTCCAAGCTGAACTGGCCTTCTTGATCAAAAGTTTATCTAACCCTTGGAGCATATCAGAAAAGGAACTACTGCTTCCATGGATACAAGGTTGGTAAGACACGTCAGTGTCTGAGCACTTAGTATATAGTAGGCGGGCGACATGGAAGTATGACTTGTGCTCAGCATGCCTTTCCTGTCGTTGTGCCAGTGTAAGTGTATGCCACGGAATCGTGATCAACCTTATTCCCTTGGTGGACGAGACAAACTTCTGGTAATCTAGGATATTATCCGCAAACGGCGGCTATGCACTCACATGACTTCGTATAATTGACATTAGAGCCACACGGTGGTAACTGAAGATCTGGTTGACTCGAACTTCAACAAAATAGTCTGGACCAGTCTAAAATCGGGAACGAATACTAGTCCAAAATGCGTGTGATCTGTTAATCTTGGCATCGAGATTTTGAACACCGAGTCTCGTATGCGTACTCGATTGCTTCAGTGTCTGCCAACAACATATTTGGATTTACAACGAGCTTCATCAGGCGCTCTTTTAAGGTTCTAATCGACTAAACCCAAATATCAGCTCTTTGTCCACTTACGGTAAGTAGGGCCATCTGCCTATTTTCTGCTCTTTATCATTGGAGTGACGTCTGAACTTCCTTTCCTTTGCCTTTCAGCATTTTACTTAGTGGCTTCGACCTCTTGTCGCACTGGCTCGAGTGGTACCCCCAGGAGCTATCTTTCAGCCAGTCTCTAGTGTCATTAGTAAAAATGTATCGTATGACGATTTAACCATTCCACGGAATAGGGCTCGATATACGATATCTGAGGATCAAATCAACACCACTACCATAGTCTATCTTGATAAAACTTTATACTATTAGATATACATCCAAAAGCGTAGTTTAATACTAATATCATCAAAACGAACTTAATTAACGTTGGGTGGGGTTATTATTCTTAAATAGTTAGTCTCCTAAAATCAGACTGGCTGACCCAAACCACATTTCATATCTAAACCTCCCAATACATTCTTCTAATCAGCGGTGGGGGAAACGGGCTGCAGTGCTAACGGTCACAGACTAGAGTATAGATTTAAGAAGAATCAGACCTTGATTGATTTATCACTTCCATATAAATTTCCAGTGATTATCAAACCCCAGCACAGCATTACAATCCTTGATAATATGGACTCAAGAGTGCACAGTAGAAGTATGGCTACGGACCACTGTAGGCAGCTATAACTTTTATGCGAAACATAGAATCCCGCGTACGAAACAGTACTAAGAGCCAGCTCAAGGGCCACCCATGGCTCTAAGAACTATCCATATCAATACCTCTCCATAATGAGCTGCGTCTTTAGCGAGTCTTGCGCCAGAAACCAATGCATCTCGTCCAAGCGGTGGGCTAAATGGTTCTTCTCATCTGCGGCTGTCTGGCGACTCTTTGTCTTAAAAGATGCCTCGACAATGTGCTCAATTCCCGTACCCCCTTTGAGCTTGAGGGGCCAAACCTCGAGGTACAGCCTCATCTGGTTCCACGTACCAACACAGCGGCTGGCACAAACCGGGCCAAAAATGCGCGATATCGCCAACGTGCTGGTGCCCCAACTGTTGGGCCTCCAGTTGTTGAACTTGTCTGGTGCTTCGTTGGACAGCATTTCAATAGATCTGCTCGTCCCTGGCAGATTCATCCTGCTATTCTCTGAATCCGCTATGGATTTCTTGCGGCTGATGGAGAGTGTTTGATTTTGGTAACCCCATTCAACTTGCGCCTCATATTTCGTACTGGCAGCGTTGAAACCATCATTATTCGCTGCAGCAAGGGCAGCGTCAATGTCGCCGTCTCTGATGGGATACCGCTTCTTATAAGTCAGTTCAAAGTCGTCCTCATTCTCAGTCTTGCGGATGCGGGCGCTCCAGCCTGCGGTATAGAGCTCCTTGCAGCTCGTATCTAGGAACTGGACATTTAACTTAATCGGGTTGGTCGGGTTGGTCTGCGGTATACCAAAGGTTGATAGGACAGTGCTTGTTAGTTTGTGGTCGGGGCCAAGGACAGCAGCTGGGTTAAGCTGGAGCCTAACTTCATATTCAGGCACCATATTTGGCACTTCCTGCGTTTGAGACACAGGATTGGCGGCCATGGCAGATTGACAGCGCGAGGAGAGGTATGGAGTACCTGTTAATTTGTAGGCAGGCCTAACATAAAACTCCTTGCGTAATACAGCAACGGTATTAAAAGAGAGGGCCAAGTCAGTGTGGAAATAGCTCTCAGTGACTAGATAGGATGCCAGAGACTGTCACCTTGCCCTTCGAATTACAAATTGTATGGAAACGCATATACGCAGAGTAGTAAGGGATGAAGGCAATCCATATGTCTATCTCTATAGTATTTATATCCCTACATGAGGTACAAATTAGCAGTAAACTCCAAAACCAGCAGCGTTAAACTCTGGTGGCACTCGCAATCTGCATTATCACAGTTAACTTTCTGAGTGATGTAACATTGCTTGGTATGATTTCATCATTGATCGTGAAGTTGGTTGACCACATAACTTACTTTCCAGATGCAGTACAATCCCATTGTCCTCATTCACCGGAAGCGGAAAGTCTCTTACTATGTTCACTATTACTATAACCCTGTATACTAGTAGACTATAGCGTTATAGGGCTGCTGCATCATAACTATGTTCCTAGTAGCGATTTATTCGGATGGTGCATAGACTCGCATAAAGTCTGAGTGGCAATACACTTCTCAAGCTATTGATATATAGACCTTGATTATCAATGTCGTCTATATGGTACTTACCATGGCCGAGACACAAATAGAACTAGGGAAGGAATACCATGATCTACGCGCAGCGAATGAGAAAGCAAGACGAAAGGAGGCAACCATGGTGCCAGATAACCCTAAAGGACGACTCTGTATACACGAGCTAGGGATCTCATCCAGTAGAGTAATGCCTCAGGTGATCGACGTGCATCATGTCGCTCAGTGCACCCGGCAAGGATATCGTCCTGGAGTTCGTTTCTCATGGGGTCTTGTATCCGTGGATTACGGGCTTGACGCAGGAGCTTACATCGTAATGATAATGACGCAGATCATTCTGAGTCTTTCCCTCCAGTCTACCTCCCGATTAATATAAGAACCTCGCTCTTTATGTTGGTGTAGCCTTTTTCTTTCTTTTCGTTCCCATTCAGATCATTCTTCCACGTTAGGTACTTCGATAACCCTCCAGTGTCATCTGACACGATCTACTGTTGCTTCCAAGAACCATATTCTAACATGGCTTTCGATCTCCTTAAGCGCCGCAGTGAGAAATTTATCCTCTGGACACCTGCCACAACAGCTTCAACCCCCCCTGCACTGGTGCTTGGCATTTTCAAGCCCGGTCCGCCGGCTACCATCGATGTACGTTTCAGAGGACGCCTGAGCATATCAGACCGACCAGATCTCTGGGAACTCAATCTAAGTGACATAAAACCGCCATTGAATAATGGCACTGTCTATCACTACTGGTTCGAGATTCAAGATTCGTCACCAGAGCATCGGGGTACCTTCCAGGTAACCGATCCAATTGCATATACAGTCGACTACAGAGCCACAGGGACTCGGGGCAAGCACATCCAACCAGCTTCCGTGATCAAGTTCCGCGATGGCAAGCTATGGCCCTGCGACATTGATGGAAAAGAGCCAGGCCAGGTGACACCCCCACCACAAGATGCTATACCGGACAACAAACACATGGTGATCTACGAACTCCCGGCTTCGTGGGCGAAAGGTAAACAGATTGGGGATGTGCAGGTTGATGTTGGCACCTTTACAGATGTCCTCGCTCTATTCGACTCGAACACTGCGGGTGATCGTTTCAAGGATATATCCCCTGTTGCCAATGAAGCCATTGTAGCTGATCTGGGCATTAACGCGCTGGAGCTCCTCCCTGCTGCGGACGCAAAACCAAAGGGTGAATGGGGTTATGCTACAGCTCACTACTACGCTCCGGACTTTGACCTTGGAACTGCATCGGAGTTAGTAAAGTTGGTAGAAAACATTCACTTGAAGGGCATCCGACTCTTTGCAGATGTCGTGATGGCCTTTGGATACGATCCGTATATCTACATCGCTTTCATGCAGTTTCATGTGAACCCGGAGGATGAGCCAAACAATACAGATGAAATCCGCCAATCCCACTCCAATGCACTGCGAGAGGCATGGGGTGGACGACTGTGGCGCTACATCAAAGATACCAATACTTATGATCCAAAATCAGGCAGACTCACCAATGTCCATCCGTCCTGGTCTTTCCATCATGGGCATCTTCATCGATGGATGTCGGACTTCGGGATAGGTGGTCTCAGGGTCGACAGCGTGAACAACATCGCTAATTTCGATTTCATCAAATCGTATACAGATGAGGCATGGTCCCTCTACAGATCAAGATATGAGACGCCGGTCTCCTCTAAGTTTCTTGTCATCGGCGAAGAACTCAGCGTTCCCGTCGACATGGTCACTAGCGGCACCGTCAATGCACTCTGGAACGAGCCGTTCCAAGGACGTCTTCGCGCAGCCATTCTCGGCGAATCCGCAGATGGTGACAACTTTGAATGGACGGTCCGGAAAATGATCAACTGCACGCTCGACCGGTCGCACCCGTTCACAGACGGCGAACAAGCAATCAACTACATCACCTCCCATGACACCGAAGGATTCCGGAAAGAGCGTCTTTTCAACTTTCTTTCCGCCAGCAACGTGCGTGATATTGAGCGACGAAGTAAACTCGCATTTGCTTGTCTCTTGACGGCCGTCGGGATTCCGATGATTTTCGCCGGCGAGGAATTCTGTGATCAAATGGATCGTCCGGTAGGGTTGAAACAAGTTGACCCAGTGAATTATGAGCGAAAGGCACAGGACTGGAGGGAGAGGGTCTTTAATTATGTTGCGACCCTTGTGAGGTTGAGAAAGGAATGCCCGGCTCTAGGGGTTGATGATACGCAGTTCATTCACGTGGATGAGAGCCGTGGGGGGAAGATCATGGCGTGGAAGAGGGGAGCACAAGGTCAGGCGCCGGTCGTCGTGGTGGCTAATTTTACCGACTTGGATACGCCTGGCGATGAGTATTTTGTAAAGAATTGGCCCGAGCGAAAGAGGGATGACTGGAGGGAGGTTACCCAGGGGAGGCACGTGCCGAGAGAGTGGGTAGGGCGGGAACCGTTGCTGCACTGGGAAGCTAAGGTTTATACATATCAACTCAACCAACGCCTAGGCCTTAGTGCCAACGCTAAACTGTGAACAATCGCTCTAGGATAGCCGTTAGGGCTTAGTCAACCTTTCGGGAGCATTTTTCATGGAAGCAAAAGTTCTATATATCCATAGGGCGTGAAATACCAGTTGACAAATAATGTGGAGTAACGAGGGCCTCGTGATACTCGCCAACCTGTCAGTGAGAGCCAGCAGAGTAATACGGCCAAGAGCCATAGAGACTTGTCCGAGTATATACAAGAGAATAGTCGTTTATTTACTTTGCAGGGAGGGCGTGTACCGCATTGGACACCATATCAATGGTCAGCAAATATCTACAAGTTCTCCATAGTGAGTATCTGTCCATCTGCCTATGCTGCGAGTGGTGTGTCAACATGGATCGAGTCATAGTATGTTTTCATACTGCATATCCGAGTACTTAATTATGTCTGAATTGATTATGACTGTGACAATGATCCCAGCCTGGGGTGCGAAATGAATGTTATAGAAGAAAGGTATAACTTCTCCTGGGTCTCTATGTTGGATCATTAGAGACTTTAGTGTTAACTGTAACAGACTATGTTAAGGTACACACAAACTCCTTAATCTCCAACAATTAGTATCAGCTCCGGCAGAAACATGCAATTGCAAAACGGATAATTTGATACATATATCCCATATCGATGTCTCTCTTAATACGAGAACCGTCTTACTCTCAAACTCCCTCTAACCCGTGCATCTTCACTCCAAGGCTTCAACATTGGCCCCCACAGCAGCGTTGGTATAGGAATTAGGAAGCAGAGCCTTTAGTATTGCACCATGCTTGTCAACCTATCATACACTGGTATGGGTCCTTCCGAATAACACATTATTACGTGGATAATTCATGCTCAGACCTCTCTGTGCCAGGGAAAAGCAGAGCATAGTAGGTAAGCCTTTCAACGTGTTGGATATTTAAGGGCCGAGATTCTTACAGGAAGAGCCTTGGAGACCAGCCACAATGCCCCGGTGAAAACAAATGACAACACCCCAAATAATATGTACCATCGCCAGTCTGGATTATTCTCTAGAAGATTCACGTTCATCCCAAAGAGACTCTAGCTGGGAAGTTAGACAGTACCTTTGAACGAAGCAGGGGCTGGGGTACGTTACCGAGACAAACATCGGCGGCAGGAAAACGAACTGCCCAGTTGAATATTAGCAAGACGCGTATATTGAAGGGGATAATGCTCACAGTGAGCCAGCTAAGACGCTTAACACTGGCAGATTCGTTCCTCGAAACCCAGGCAAGCTCCTGTCAATCCATCATTAGCATCTGAAGTCCCAAGCTTTCCGCATACGTACGATCTGTAATAATTCGCGTAAGCTCTGTTCTGACTGTCTCAGTTTTGACGTCAACTTTTTTCCAATAAGCCTCATATCTGTTGCCAACTGTGATTTCTGCCCCAGGTCAAATGAGGTGTTAGTCCTGATGATATCATTGATACCATCGATGTGTGATTGTAGGCACTTCGAAAGATTCGCACGACTTTGCGAAGCATGAACTAAGGAGTCTATAAGACTATGGCTCACCCCCTTAGCTTTTACCTGATCACGCCGCTTAAGGTGAACCAGCAAGTCAGTCCGGAAACTAGTTGAGATAAATCACAAGACCTTCGTCAACCTACCAATTCTTCCACTCTGTCTGTCAACCTTAAGCAATATTGATTCCATTCGTGGTGAAGATGGTCCAGAAACTGTTCGAAAAGCTCAAAGGAATCATGCGGCACCCAGCCATTTGGAAGCATGCTAATAAATCCACGTGCAAAGCCTTCTGTAGTTTGCTTGCTTACCCAAGCAATGCCCCACGAGTATAAAGTTTCACCATGATGCTCTTCGGGAAAGTTCAAAGACATGTAGGTAACGACAAACAGTCCACGTTCCTCGTGAAAGTACCTGAAGTACTCATTCTGGTCTTCTGGAGATCTATGAACACCAAAGACCTTTGGTAATTGTGTCCAAATTGAACCTTTCTTGCATATGCTGAGCTAGTGAGCCGGTGAAGTATCTTTAAGAACAAGCGCACTTACCACAGTCTGGATTCCTTTGGCTCAGGAAACCAATCACAAGATGTATCATTGATCAATTCGAAGTCAAAGCCCGAGCTATTGGCTCTTTTCGTGATCTGGATCCAAGAAGCCCTTTCTGGTTCTAGATTCAACCACTCGTCTGAAAGGACGGGTTTGAGGTCAGCTGACGGAGCATTGAGTAATAACTGTACGACCTTCTTGCATCCCATTTCCAGGGCATATTGTAAAGGGATCTTTCCAGCATGGTCTTGGCAGTTTACTTCAGCCCCCGCCTTGATCATGTCCAAAACAACATCCCCATCAGCGGCCAGACAAGCAAGGTGGAGAGGCGTTCGCCCTTGGAAATCACGCAGGTTCACGTTATAATTTGCCTGAATTAGTGCGTTTATCGGCTCCAACGCTCTGTACTGCCAAACGGATCTTGCCTCTTTAACTAGCAGATGCAGTGACATGTTGTCTCTTTTTTTCAGCAAATCTATCACAGGTCGTTCTCCTTTCTCCAAGGCCCAGATCAGTGGGGTCCGAGAGAACAACTCCGGTGTATCATCTCTTATATTGACATCGACCGTTGTATTTTGTAACAAAGCGGTCACAACTTCTGTATCCCCATATGATGCCGCCCATGAGAGCCAGTTGCGCCCTGATGGGTCCTTTTTGCTGGGCATTGGCAGCTTGCTAACCAAAATCTGAAGGTCAAAAGGATTCCCGGTGGCGGAATTGAGTAGTCGAGGCTTAGGCCCGTCTCGTCTTTTGAAAAACCACCAGAAGGCGGTATGGCCGTGATCGTCAACTTGGTGTGGGTCTGCCTGCTTCTCCAGGAGTAATTGCATTATTGGTACCAATCCCTGCTCGGCTGCTAGAGAAAACGGAGTTCGGCCATCACTGTTAGGTTGATCCACCCCGATTCCTGGCAAGTCGAGCAGAAATTTAACCACATTTTGCTGTCTCTCCATAACGGCCCACGCAAGCGGTGTCATTTGTTGTATGTCTTCTGATCCGATATTGGCCCCTGAATCGAGGAGCTTTTTCAGGATGCCTATTTCCCCAAGCCGGGCGGCCATGGCAAATGGAGTTTGACCGTGCATATCATGGCAATCAACTTCGATATCTGGAGCTTTGAGAAGAGCTTCAACCGCCACCTCGCGGTGTTCATCAACAGCACAAGCTAGTGCTGTGCGCCCTTGTGTGTCCTTGAAATTGACATCCAGATCTTTACGACGCAATAATACATGAAGCACCATAAGTTTCTTTATGGCCAGTGTCAATGGTGACAAGCCATCTACCTCGAAGTTTAAGTCGAGGTGGTGAGTATCAATAAAAGTGTGAAGACTTTCGATGGTTGTCTTTGGACTCTTTGGTTTTTTCGCCTTATTTCGTGTTTTGGTTGTTTTCGGCGTTTCTATCGGAGAAAGCAGCAATGAAAGAAAATCCCGCTGAAGCTTAAGTACAGCACTCTGTGAAGAGGGTTCATCAGACAATGAAGAGGCCATGATGTTTCAAATTATCTTTGAAGGTGGATGATAAATGTGCGTGTATAGCAGGACGATTCACATTATATACACATACGACAACAATTCAGTATATTGGACATATCATTTAGGCAGGTTACAATTCGAACACAGCCTCGTTGATGCCCAAAATTGTAGTTCCTCCGATCTAGGTACATCTAACGAAATATTCAGCCTCGCGGACGCTAGTTCTTGATTCTGCCAATGAATAAATGAATTATGGGGGCTCGGACATTTAGTGATTTGCCTGCCAAGGCCCCGACTCTCATCCGCAACCGAAGCCTACCACCTGAAGAGCCGGGAAATACATCTACCAGATCCCCAGAACTTCTCTGCAACACCAGTGAAGTTTGCCTTCAAGGCTTGGGGTGAGAACGGTGAGTAGAAGAAGTTTATAAGCTGGACATTGACATGCCTGATCATTGTCACGCGAGCGCAGGACGGCACTACTCACCTACTAGAACCAGAAGGGTAGTGTCACACTCCTATTGGAAAGCGATTTCTTGATAATCAGTATTCCTATAAGATAATTATTATTCTATTATTCTAAGATCATTCCACTACCTAATAGTAAATTACTAGAATATTATATAGAGTGGCATAACCTAACCACCGTAACCTAGCCATAACCTAACCTAACCGGCCTCGATTAGGTTAAGGTATAAAATTCCTTAACCGATATCGATTAGATTAGATTAAGATTAATCAATCTCTTAACCGCGGTTAACTGTAGACCAGAGTAGATTAAATTATAGTAATTAGATTAATAACTATAAATTAATCTATAATTAATTATTAATAATTTTATAATATTTATTATATTTCTTTTAATTTATTTTATATATAGAGTTATTACCAGTTATAATTAATAATTATTATATTAGATATAATTAGATAATTCGAAAAATAAATTTTCTAAATTATAACTATAAATAAAAATTTATATAATACTATTTTTTATACTACTCTAGAATTACTATTAGAATATTATACTTCTATTAGAAAGCAATTTCTTGATAATCAGTATTTCTATAAGATAATTATTATTCTATTGTTCTAGGATTATTCCACTATCTAATAGTAAACCGCTAGGATGTCATATGACCAGACATGTGACAGGTAGGCTGCAGGCATTGGGGTGCTCGTGGCCTTTTTATTCGGTAAGTCTATTAAAGCTAGGATATCAATATTTTTGGAAGATGTTCACCTTACAGTCATAGCAGTCAGCTGCTGGCCAATAGATATAAAGCATATGATTGAACTATTCCACCAGGAACAAATTCCTAGATTAGACTGGCGTTTGGCTAGGTTAGGTTAGGTTAATGGGGTCAGGTATACCTAACCGGTGGGTTATGGCTAGGTTATATATATATATATTGTACCGTCCGTGGTTAACCGGCGGTTAACCTAGTTCTGCCTGAGGCGGCCAACTAGACCTATTTAGGCAGGCGGTGAACTAGGGTTGCTTAAAATACTGCTGGCAGAAAATAGCCCTAACCTACCGCCTACTAGAACAGGCTTAGTTTGGTGCCTTGTGGCCTTATCAGGCAGAACTAGGTTAACCGCGGTTAACCTAGTTTTAACCTTAACCTAGGTCGGTTAAACAT